CCCCGGCCGCTTTGATTGTTTCGGTAACCATCTTTTTCCCCTCATCTGCGTGGCTGTATGTACTCCTTTAAGTATTAACTGATTGTTCTTGCTGACGATGATCCGAGCGGATTCGTCTTCATTGTTTTGCTTTGTTCTATTCCTGCTTTTTTTCTGATTACATGTTCGTATGTTTCTTGCGGAGATCTAGTTGCAGGCAGTGACTCTTCGGCTATTTTTTCATTTGTCATATGAGCAGTGAACATATCTCAAAAGTCTTCTCTTCTCGGTCTCCTCAGTGTGTGCGTGATGCTACCTCCACTAATACAACTAGGTCAGTAAAACCACTAAAAGTCTTAAGTCAGTATGTGGTTCTAAGAACTCGTTTTTTGTCGTTTTCGGCTATTAAAACTGCACTTTTCGAACGCGACAATTCTTGTCATAATAAAGATACCTTCGAGTACTTCACGAGTTTTTTTCGTTGTCGACGATTGTATGTCAAGACCGGGTCGTTTCTGCTGAAGTTGGCGTTGGCTTTCAGTGATCATGCATAGGAATATGTAGCTCCTTACTTTTGCATCTGACTCGTCCCACGCAAATGTGTTGCATAAAACTCCTTTCTCTTTGCCTCCGACTACTGTTTTCTACAATGTTAATTTTTTCTCTTGGTGGCGGATATCCCGGTTGCCTTTCTCTGCTTCTATTTCGCACTTAATTATATTAGGTACGTTTATTCTGTCGGTTCGATATGCAAAAGTTTTTCTCAAATTAAATTTCATACTTAAATCCCGATTTTGGCAAACACAGCCACCTCTATCATGGCTTAACACTTGGACCTTTCCAGTGATGGCTCTCCTGAAGCTTTTTGCCAGAATGGCTGGATGCTCAACGGGTTTTTGTATCCTGCTGGCTGCGCATGTTTAATTCTAGAATCCTAATGCATTGGTAAACTAACTCAAGTTAACCTCGCTAATAGAGAAGAGACAACTGAACGTTATCTAGCTTAACATTGTTAAGCTCATAGCCGTATCGGTTAAGGCCATTTGACCAACGATAATATATTATATACATGTACATCATGAGTTTGTGTCAATCCGACCAAATGACAACCATTATACGCCTAGAAAAAGATTTTTGTCCCAAACCTAGCTTGCTAAATTTGTTTTTTGTTATCATTTTAAAAGAATATATGAAGGTTTTTTAAAATTGGGATAATTGCGTTATAACATACAAAATTGGCGGATTTTTGTTCAGGTTTCGAAAAAACACAGATCATTTGTGCTTGGTTTGATTTTTTTATTCAATCAACTTTTTCAGCTTTCAGCGTTCAAAAAAAAGTGTTTGAGAACAAATTTTCTACCCCATTTAATTTACTGACTCCTTGAAATCAAATATAAAAGATATATTATATCCAATCATTGTTGCAAAGTTCTGAGAGTTTGAAAACTGCCAATTTGGCCATGCTCAGGATTAATCCATTCATATTTTGAAGACTTTATTCATAATACTGAAAGTGTAACGACAATTATTATCCCGTGTTATGTGTGGCAGGTTATCCCGCACAGAAAAAAACGCTCTCATTTGTATTGAGGCTAGCTAAACTAATCGGTCGTACTTTCGTGCGGCTGTTGAATTTACACATGATCTCTGACATCGGCCAAAATTTATAGTGAATCCGAACTTTTTTGGTCCACACTGTCTGAATCAAGATTCTGTTGGTTCGTATGGTCTGAAACCGGATTCATTCGGTCCATGTAATCTGAATCCAAATTTCTTCGGTCTACACAGTCTAAATCCGGTTTTTGTTTGGTCCACACGGTCTGAACCCGAACTTTTTGGCTCAAACGGTCTAAAAACGGATTCACTCAATCCACACGGTCTGAACATAGTATCTTTTGGTCCACACGGTCTGAACATACCATATTCTGGTCCCAACGGTCTGAACATGCTAATTTCTGGTCCGCACGGTCCACACTACCTCGAACCGGGATGTTCTTTTCCAAAAGCTATTCGATATTGATTAAGGGGCATATGGATATGGATATGGATGTCGGAACTTTCAGACTTTCCGGACTTTGCCCTGATATACAAGCAGTCTTGTTCTGTTGAAGTTATTATCAAGGAAAATTATTTGATACCATGCGCTAAGTACTTCTGAACGTAGTCTGAATCCAGATTTCTTCGGTGCTTACTTTAGACTAGCGTATGTGGGAATTGAAATGGCAAAAACTGAAAACATTTCTGAGTCGAAACTCAAACAAAATGACTACAAAAAATATGCTAGTGGCGGCTTTCATTCTAAGCATTGTAGAATTTTTGATTAAATGTCTTAATGTGTTTTTAATTATCCTTGCAAAATTTAGGTGGCTTGTAAATTGTCAATTTGGGCAGATTGGGGTTTTTGGTGCAAACATTATTGCATACTCTTTAAAGTAGGCTCAGCTTTGGAATATGCTTAAGCTCACTACACATACTTTCACTTATGGGTAAGCAGAACTGAAAAACTGCGAAGCAAAATTGCTTGTATATGTTGGTTTGAAAAGTAGTTTATTTTTGCGACCAAATTGATCAAGAGGTCTAAATGATTCTAGTGCCTTTAAATTTTCTCAAAGTTTTTTGAAAAAAAAAACCAAAAAAGTTTCTGCGAAAATAAAAAGATTTCAGTCAGTTGTGTTTGATTTCTTTAAGTGATTTGTATCTAGTAGGGCATTCAAGCAATTAATTCTTGTAGTTCAGTAATGAAAAATTTTGATTGCAACTGCACATGCAGTCTCAGATATTTCAGGGTTCCGCTTTGAGCAGTTTGGACAAACTAAATAGAATCAACATTCCTTTTTTCAAACACTAGTCTTGTTGAAAGTTTTGGCGACCAGTTCGTTTCCATTCATTTAACTTGAAAGTTTTTTGAATGCAGATCTTTTTCCTGTCTCAAATTTTTAAGGGTAAGGTTTTACGCGTTTTTGATTATTGCGCCGACTTATGTAACGAAAAAAAAAACGTTTTTGGGCTCGGGTTGGTTTTTTCTTCAGATAAAATTCGATTTCTTAATTAGCCGTTTTTGACAACATTTTGCATGCCATTCAAAAAGTATTGTTGTCCTGAACTTGCGCTTAATTTTTGCAACGGGGTGTTAAGATTTTGGCCAGTTTGGGACAATTAACGCACGATATACTTCGCGCTATTAAATTGTAAGCGGGTATTTAATCTGTCTTAGAAATCATACCAAATTGGTTGAAGGAAGCTTATTTGCCATAATTGTTACTAGGAGCAAAATTTAAAACTTTTTGTACTTAATATGGTGGATGGTTTCCACGAAAACCTCCAATTTTATAGAAAAAAAGTTTCGTTTTTTTTACATTTATTTTTTTTTTATAATTACTGCTCCATAAAACTTCAAAAGCAGTCTGAATTTTCAAGGTTTTGCCCTGACACGGGCAGCTTTGTTGGATATCAAGTGCACTTATGCAACTTTAAAAAAAACTGAAAGGTTAGGCACTTTTCAAACCCCTTATTTTTGTTTTAAAAAAGGATGCAGGTCAGGCAATATCAATTTTGATAACAACAAATCAACAGCTTCGAAAAGTTTCTTAACAAAACAATGGAATCAAATACCTGGAATCAATTGAAAAGTTTTAATTGGACATAAAATTAGCTAACTTTTGTGTTTGATTACTCATGCACATATTTTTCTAGTAAATTGATTGAAGAAGCTCTCCAATAACCTATCTAGCAGGAAAAAGCGGTTTCTTCAGAAAAATACGTCGTTATTGCAGAATTGGGTTCAAAAAAGGCGATTAGAGGGATTTGAGGGTTCTTTTTCTGTTACCCAAGGTACCCGAGGTAGACTTCCTGCTTGCCGAACTTGCGGATCTCAACTAAAAACTTCACAAAAAGTCAGTTAAGTTAGCGGTTTCTGCTCTCGTTTACATCATTGTTCTATATTCAATTGGTTTGTCTCAAATAATTGCAACCTACAACAATGGTTAAGTTCAGCTCAAAATTGGCACTAATTTGATTTTCAGCAATTGGTTTTTCAGCGGGCAACTTACCTACTCTGATAAACTTTATGTTTCATTAGTAACTTGGCAATTCTCGTCAAGCTGAACTCTTGATAACACGTAAAAAGCCATGGCAAATAATGACAGTTAAACGCCGAATTTTTTAACGCGTTCCGGAGAACTTTGTTTGCGAAGCTGACGAGCAAAATCAATTGAATCAAAACGATGATGAAAATAACCCAAATAACGACGGAATCACTGAAAGCATCTATCAAGACGAACTTGATTGATAAAATGATTATGAAAAATGAACGAGGGCCATTTTATCGGCTGAGGAAACGACCGGCAGAAGTTTCCAACCAATCAAATTCTTTCATTCTGATTGGAGGCAATATCAATTTTAAAAAAATCAACAGTTTCGAAAAGTGACAACAAAACAATGAAACCAAGAATCTGGAATAGTTAATTTGAAAACGTAAAATTGGCAAGTTATTGCGTGTTTGATTATTCATAAACACATTATTCTAGTAAATTGATAGAACAAGTTTTTCTTTAACCGCTCTAGCAGAAAAATATTTGGTTAGTTCAGAACTGGGTTTAAGGAAGGAGATGAGAGGCAGTTGAGGGGTCTTTTTATTCTGCTACCCAAGGGCCTCTCTTTGGTATTTTTTTTCTGACATCAAAATGTGCCCCAAAAGTTCGATATTTTTTCAATATCATGGCGTTAACTTGATTGATCGTCAGATACTAGCCTTTGCTTTAGCTCACATTGTCTAGAACAAGTTTCTTTGTATTGATGGGTGGAGTCGATGACTCCAGCTGCCAAAGCCATACGTTTCCTAAATTTTCCCTTAAATCGCTGCTCTAAAATATTCAAAAAAAGATGCTGTTTTCAGATGCTTTCAAACGCTAGTTTGAAAACAGGTTAAATAATTTTGAATTGCTGAGTGATGTCAATGTCAAAGACAAATCATCAAATCTTATCATAAGACGATGATTTTTATGTGCTTTTCTGATTAAAGGTCTTTTTTATTTACATGAAATTCGCTTTTGAAATATCTGTTAAAACTTCGTCAAAATACTCAAAATATATTCTACAAAATGGCAGCTGGCAATGAAAATAGCTTATTGAAATCGACCCTTGAGCTCCTAGCTCAAGAAACTTATGAAACTAATTCTTTGTTACAAACGTTGATAGACTCCTCTTTTAATAATCCGAGTAAAAATGCACCGACTAATGCGAATCTTAACAAAAGAAACTCGTTATGTTTGAGCTCGTCGGATTTGCGACATCATCACCACGGAGATCCACACTCCCACGTTAATCACTCGGCTCTTGGAAATTGCCGAGAAGTGCTGGTGAAGTTTGGGTTTCTGGAAATTTACGAAATCAGCACGAAGTCTCAGAATTTCAATGCTGAAATTCTCATTCAAGTGAGTGAATATTCCCGATTGGTCAATAAAGAAAATCGTCGCAAAATAAAAGAGAGCGATTTATAGTAGGTACCACCACGATCTCAAACAGGGACGGATTTAGGGGGAGGTGTGGAGAGCGGAAAACCCCTTCCCCGCCGCCTCCACAGCCTCTCCCTCCCCTCCTCCAGGGATTCGAGCCCCCCCCCCCCCCCACCAACCAAAGGGTCCCTCTTTGGTCTTTTCTATAACATCCATTTTCGGCCGACCTACTGTAACATTTTTTAAGGGCCTCTTCGAAGCCAGTATACATTAAATTTGAATAGGAGCGCCCGATTTTTGATATCCAAATTTTTATATCCAGATTTTAGATCAAAAATTTCCTAAAAACGGCATTTTTGACCAGTTTTTTTCTTCTTATTTTGCTTGCGGCGCAAAAATTTTGCCAAAAAGGGTCTCTATGCTATTTGAAAAAAGATCGAAAAAAATCATATTGTTCCACTTAAAAAAAGGCCGCTTTTGGTTTCAATAATTTTTCCGAATAAATATTTTGAATATTGAGTTTAAATAAACAAATCACATTGATTCAATCAGTTTTTCAGACTTGAAATTTCGTCCAGTTATAAAATCAAATTTTTCCTACTAAATTATCGAACAAAAAGGAAAGATATTCGAGCTCGATAAAATTTTCGACACTATTTTTAATCATTTTCTGGGTAATTTTTACACCAAGTTTTTAGGGCGTTCACTTTTGGCTTTAGTTCAGACCAAATATAAATAAGGATTGCACATTGGCGATTGAGCCTCAAGTTTGCGTTTTTGCATGCGGGTGAGCTATGCATGCACTATTCTAAACGGGCAAGGTAAACGGCTCGCCTAATACTTTGAGAATATTGTTTTTGATTCTGAAAGCGTGACACCAACAATTTTTTTAAATTTGAAATTTCGTCCAGTTATAAAATCAAATTTTTCCTACTAAATTATCGAACGAAAAGGAAAGATATTCGAGCTCGATAAAATTTTCGACACTATTTTTAATCATTTTCTGGGTAATTTTCACACCAAGTTTTTAGGGCGTTCACTTTTGGCTTTAGTTCAGACCAAATATAAATAAGGATTGCACAGTGGCGATTGAGCCTCAAGTTTGCGTTTTTGCATGTGGGTGAGCTATGCATGCACTATTCTAAACGGGCAAGGTAAACGGCTCGCCTAATACTTTGAGAATATTGTTTTTGATTCTGATAGCGTGACACGAACAATTTTTTTAAATTTGAAATTTCGTCCAGTTATAAAATCAAATTTTTCCTACTAAATTATCGAACGAAAAGGAAAGATATTCGAGCTCGATAAAATTTTCGACACTATTTTTAATCATTTTCTGGGTAATTTTTACACCAAGTTTTTAGGGCGTTCACTTTTGGCTTTAGTTCAGACCAAATATAAATAAGGATTGCACAGTGGCGATTGAGCTTCAAATTTGCGTTTTTGCATGCGGGTGAGCTATGCATGCACTATTCTAAACGGGCAAGGTAAACGGCTCGCCTAATACTTTGAGAATATTGTTTTTGATTCTGATAGCGTGATACCAACAATTTTTTTAAATTTGAAATTAGGCAAATGAAATGGTCATAAGATTATCTTATACCACGCAACTTTTAACACTTATACTTTAACTAAAGTTTATCAAAAAAAAATTTTACAAAAGCTTTTTGAGACTATTTTAAAGACAATCAGAATTTTCAGGGCGTTGACTTGATATACGAGCAATCTTGTTTTACAAAACGACAGAGCCAAACAGCACGCAGCAATTAAATTCACTGATTCCCAACTTTTAGCATGCTATGTTTTCAAAACCAAAAGCTATTACCCTATATTTTAAATCAAAATAAAAGATATTAGTTAATTTTCAGGTATCTTCGAATCTAACACTAGTTAGGCATACAAATTGATTCAATCACATACAAGCAGGCCAGGGATTTAAAGATTGTAGGTTTCAGTTAAAGATTCTCTAATTTTTTAAAAAGTATTTGATGATGTATAATATCGAAAATTTTATCATCAACGTTTTGTTTTAATCATCATCATCTATAATGAGTCAAGGAGTTAGTAATTTTCTTAGTTTTTTTTCTAGCTCGGTATAACTAACGAGCCTAGTCTAATATTGAGCTACTTTTTACCGACTTTGAATATGGTGGCATTTTGCTATAATCTTGATCTGTACCATACAAAGCTCCACATCATAGTATCTGTTTTCTGCTTCATAATTGGCTAGGGTTTAGAGTTTGCCTACCGTCTAGCGACGGTTAGACGAAAAGAATGACGTGAGAATCATACACTACTGGTCGGAGTTCCAAGGACGAACATAGGACTAGTTGTATTGTTCCTACTTTCGATACGAAAGTAAACCGGGTTGACCTCCATACGCCGAAAATGCTTATCATACAATTCCATACAACAAAAATCATTATCATACAATTCCATACATCAAGTGTATGGAGAAAATGCTTGTCATACAATTTTCATACTTTTTCGAAAAACAATATAAAAAAATTAAACCATTTCTGCGGCGTTTTGAGAATAGTTGAACAGACTGGTGACAAAAAAAAACTGAATTAAAATTTAAAAAAAAATGCTTACCATACAATTTCCATATACGACACACAAACACACTAAAAATGGCCCCACAAATTTTTTTGTTTTCTTTTTCAACTGCAAGCCGAATTTCGTACGCAAACAAACATTTTTCGAAAAAAAAAATTTGCATGCAAAATTTAATTTTTTGTGTGCTAACGTAGTCCTGGATACAATAATACTGGCTTGTTTTTTCTTTTCACTTAAATTTTTTTTTCAAAAACGCTGAAAATTCTTATTTCTTTTGTATGGCATGTTTATAAATGCCTTGATCAACGTCTAATAATTTGAAAACTCAAAAATTTATAATAATCATCATTGAAATGTTTTGCCATAAATTAAAAGTTTGTTATTTTTGTTATATCAATTGTGAAACACAGCTCGAAAACAATTCAGGTCGTTTTCTATAAATTGTAAGTGCAAGACTGTCCAAATTTTGGTGCATTGAGTAACCAAGGTCTTTCTCAATTGTGTTTGGTTGCAAACACAACCGAAAACTTTTTGGAAAATAATTTTAGAAACAAAAAATCGATTTTTTGATTTATGGAAAAATACCAATCATACAATTTTCATATATGGAAAAATGCTTATCATAGAGTTTTCATATAATTTTTGTACGTATGAAATTGTATGACAAGAAGTTTCTCATATATGGAAATTGTATGATAAGAAGTTTTGGTCAACCCGGGAAGGGAATATTTGTGCTCGGGGCGGGTTTTTTATCTTAGACCAATTTCGACTTTTTAACTAGCCATTTTTGACGGAGTGTTTCAAATTCATTCAAAAGGTATTGTTGTTTTGAGCTTAATTTTGGAAAGATATTTCACCTTTGATCATTTTTCGTAACGTTATGGCGGTTTGAAGATTGTCATTTTGACCAATTTGGAGCAATTTACGCGCGATATATTTCGCGCTATTAGAGCGTAAGCGGAGATTTAATCCGCCTTGGAAATCGTTTCAAATTGGTTGAAGGAAGGTTTTTTGCCATAATTGATTTTTTAATAGGAGCAAAGTCTATCGCTTTGTACTTAATATGACGTGTGGGGGTATGTTTTCTCAAAGAATCTAAATTTTTTTTTAAATTTTTTCAGTTTTATTTTATTACATTTGATTTTTTCATGACATTACTGCTCCATAGACATTAAAAGGCAGTCAAAACTTTCAGGGCTTCCTTCTGATACAAGCAGTCTTGTTTAAATCAGTATTCGAATCAATAGTTTTCAAACTCTATAATTTACAAAAATTAATTGCATATACAAATCATTGAGCTCAAAATTGTTTCTTTGGGACCATTTATGATTATATGAGGAATTGAATTTAGGACTGCATTGAACATTTTGGGATGAATCAAGCGCTATTTACCAGTTTTTTACAAACGCGTAGTGTGAGTGGGGAAAAAGTCCGCCTCGGAAGTTATACCAAATTGAATTGAGGCCAGCTAAATGGTCCAAAAAAGGCCTAAGTGATCGAAAAATAAATCTTGTTACGCTTGATATTGCGTGTGGGGTGAACATTTGGAATGCAAATTTAGCTTATTTTTGAATTATATCATTTTTTAACCGAAAATTACTTCAGATATTTTTGCTCTGATAATAAGCAGTCTTGTCGAAATCAAAAACACTCGCAACTTCGCAGCTCCTAGTGATTGAGGGGACAGTTGAACAATTGAACCTTTTCAAACGTTGAAAAGTTTGTCTGAGGTATACTTTTTCTGTGGTTCATTGTTCTATAAATTAGAAAAATATCAAAAAAGGTTGACCATTTTCAGCTCCGATGGTTGGATGAGGCCGTGGAGGAATTGGCGGATGAGGAGTTGGATGTCTACTTGCAGTCCTGTTGGCAGCCGGAGGTGCATGTGTTCAACATGGTGAAGGAGGATGTGAGGCGGGAGCAGATATTCGTGTGTGAGGAGGAGGCCATGAACTCCCAGCAGATGATTGTGCTCCGACAGAAGATCAAAGGTAAGCGGTGCTGAAATGTTTTGTGTAAAAGAAACCCTCAAATTTAAACCATTTCTGACATTGGTTTGAGCGCAATCTGCCTTCAAGCCTGAACTCTAACGGGAGGAGGAGAGGGTTTGTTATGTCAATTTTCCATTTCTATTGACCAGATGTTCTTCCTATCCGCCGGAAAAGATATCAACTTAAAAATCTGATGAGATTTGATAAATTTTTTTGACTTTTTTTACCTCTCTTTCAAAATTGCGAGCAATGACAATGAGCACAAATGAGATGAGCTTAGACATTGATGTGCATCTGTTTCCAGGCACTTTCCAGACGAAGATGTTGCTGCATGAGTTCCCTCTGGACTACCAGGAGTTGCCGGTGACTCTCTACTCGAGACTTCCGAGGGATCAAGTGGTGCTAAAACAGGACAATTTTGAGTACTCCTACATCAACAGGGATAATATGAACGACCCACAGGTAACTGTTTTGTAAGATTGCGCATTTTTTTGACAAAATGAAATTCAATGGTTAAGTTGAAATTGCTGTATTTTTCTCAGAAGTTTTGAACCAATTTGGGTTTTGGTAGGCTGGAGGCGGACCTCTCTTCCTCCCTCAGCGATTCAATCCCCTGCAGACCCAAAGGGGATTTTTTTATGTTATCGAGGTTTTAAAATTGGAAACTTGGCCTATTTGGGATGATTAATGCGCGCAGAATTTCAAGATTGCTTCATCACTAACATATCCGACCTATTAATCCGGTTCAGAAATCATTCCCATATATAAATTGAAGCATTTTTATTAATTCAAAAGATTTCATCAGACACTTTAAAAAAAAAAACATTTCGAGGCTTAGGCATGATACGAGCATATTGTTTTCCAGTTTTCAAAGAAAGTAACGGGGTCGGTTTTGATCATAACAATTTCAGCGACCAAAAAATAGCTTTAGGCAAATTTTTTTAATACCCAAATGATCATATTGAAGCCCTGAGTTCAAACCTAAAAGACATTTTACCTGCCATCTTCTGTTATACGTTCTGAGAGTTTGAAAACAGCCTATTTAACCCGCGGGTTGACGTCCATAAAAGAAAAGTGTTTATCATACAGTTTCCCATATGAAATCTACGGAAAAAAGGTTATCCTACAAAATTTATACAAATTTTAAAAGTGTTTAATGATCAAAAATAAGTTTTACGGAAAATATTGTTGCCTGCAAATTTTGATTTTTTGTGTTTATAACGTAGTCCAGGTTGAGTTTTCACCCAAACACGATTTTTTTTGTTTCTTTTGCAAAAATAAAAACAAATTGTACAAAACAGGCTTTTTTCTCAACCACCAAACTTTTCAAACCAACAATTATCTAGCTATATACAAAAAAATACAGTTTTGGTATATAAATCCATGTGAAAATGTTAAAATTAACTTAAATGGCTAAATTGCTATAATCACCAAATGCAGTTTACCAGCGTGGTAACTGCCAGTTACCCTCTGGGTTATCTTATGGCAAAAATCCCGTGTTTAGTGTTTCGGATGAAACACAAAACAGAAAATAAATAAAACTTTTTTGTTCTTCCATTTATGGAAAAAATGCTTATCATACAATTTCATAGTATAGAAAAAATGCTTATCATGGTAATTTCATACAAGTTCGGGGATGCAAAGAATGATAAAAAAGCTCAAACTTTAATTCCGGAGTATGAAAAAAATGCTTGTTATAATATTTGATAAGCTTTTTTTCTCTACCCGGGCCGTTTTGTGAACTATTTTCTGTGCGTTTTTAAAAGTTAGTCTATGTGCAAGTTATCCCGCATTCAAAATTGTTATAAATTGACTTGAAGCGGGTAATAATTTTCCTGTTTTTTTTCCGTTTGATATTGGCTGTTTGGGAGGGAACAAAATAATGATAAAAATTTAAAGTTTAAGTTTCGTACAAAAACTGTTCATAAAAAACTACTTGTCAAAGTAGTAGTTGTTCGAAAGCTGTGATTGATCTGAAACCGTCGAAAAAGTGTTAAGCGCAGTCGCAAAAATCAAGGCATTTAGGGCCACTTATTTATTATACTTGATTTTTTTCCTATAACGATGCTGATTGGTTTAAATTGCTTTTCTATTTAAAGAGCTGGCAACCATTTATCTACCTAAAATTTTCGATTTGTTTCAATTTAAAACTCTTGATCCCTTTTTCCTATCACGATGCTGATTACTTAATATTTTTTAATTTAGGGAGCTTTTAATGAATTGTCAATTTGTTGCTGTGGAAATTAATGTGTTCCCACCACTGAAGGTGAAAAAAGATTTTTCGTCGGGTGTTTTTTAGTTTTTTCAGTTTTATCTGTTGAACATTTTGTTTTCAATGTTGACTCTCATTTTTCTATCCTTCGTCACCTTTACCATTCAAAGAGATTAAGTAACTATTTCTCTTATAGCCATTCATTGCCAATGTAATATATATCTTTGTATCCGTATAATGGTTTTTCTTACCAAACTTTTCATTAACAACAGTGCCATAATTTTGGGAGAACTTTACAAATATTTAGAAATACCCCTTTTTGCATAAATTTTCTGCAACGCAGGCAATTTTGGGGACAGAAAGAACATATCAAGTTTTGCTTTGTTGTGAGTTCAAAAAAAAGTAACGGGGTGATTTTTATAATAACAATTTTAGCGAACAAAAATTAGCTTTAGGCAAAATTTGTTAGTAACCAAATGAACATATTGACAACCTGAGTTCAAACGTGAAAGACTTTTTATCTGCCATCTTCTCTTATACATTTTGAGAGTTTGGAAACAGCCCATTTAACCCGCGGGTTGACGTCCATAAAAAAGTGCTTATCTTACAGTTTCATGTATGAAGTCTAAGGGAAAAAATGGTTCTTCTACAAAATTCATACAAAATTTAGAAAGTGTTTTTTTTAAATCTTTAATGAACGTTTTTGATTTATTTGAAGCTTACAGGTCGTCAAAAAAAAAGATTTTAATTTTTCGATAAAAAAAGGCTTATTGTACAATTTTCAGGTATGAAAAATATAAGACAAACATTTTGTCGTAGAAAAAATCAAATCACCAAAAAAAGAATCTGGGTAACTTTGAAAAGATTTAAATAATTATATGTAAGATGGAAGTCATTTTGGAAATCAAAGACATAATTTTAATTACAGTTGAAAAAAGGCTTATCATATAGTTTTCAAAAATGAAAATTGTATGATAGACCTTTTTTCACAAACAAAAACACAAATTTGAGATAAAAATTTTAGTTCCTTTTTTGTTTGCAAACTTGTTCTTGTGCTCAAATATAAATTTCACGGAAAACAATGTTGCCTGCAAATTTTGACTTTTTGTGTTAATAAAGGATTCCAGATTGAGTTTTCACCCAAACACGATTTTTTTGTTTCCTTTGTTAAAATAAAAATAAGTTGTGCAAAACAGGTTTTTTTCTCAACCACCAAACTTTTCAAACCAAAAATTATCTAAGTCTATACAAAAAGTTATATTTTTGGTGTATAATATCATGTGAAAATGTTAAAATTAACTTAAATGCCCATATTGTTAATCACCAAATGCAGTTTACCAGCGTGCTAACTGCCCTTTACCCTCTGGGTTATCTTATGGCAAAAATCCAGTGTTTAGTGTTTCGGATGAAACACAAAACTAAAACAAAATAAAACTTTTTTGTTCTTCCATTTATGGAAAAAATGCTTATCATACAGTTTCATAGTATAGAAAGAATGCTTTTCATGTTATTTTCATACAAGTTCGGGGATGCAAAGAATGATAAAAAAGCTCAAACTTTAATTCCGGAGTATGAAAAAAATGCTTGTTATAATATTTGATAAGCTTTTTTTCTCAACCCGGGCCGTTTTGTGAACTATTTTCTGTGCGTTTCTAAAAGTTAGTCTATGTGCAAGTTATCCCGGATTCAAAATTGTTACAAATTGACTTGAAGCGAGTAATAATTTTCCAGTTTTTTTTCTATTTGATTTTGGCTGTTTAGGAGGGAACAAAATAGTGATAAAAATTCAAAGTTTTTGTAACCAATTGAACATATTGACGCCCTGAGTTCAAACGTGAAAGACATTTTATCTGCCATCTTCTCTTATACATTTTCAGAGTTTGAAAACAGCCCATTTAACCCGCGGGTTGACGTCCATAAAAAAGTGCTTATCATACATTTTCATGTATGAAGTCTAAGGGGAAAATGTTTCTTCTACAAAATTCCTACAAAATTTAGAAAGTGTTTTTAAAATCTTTAATGAACGTTTTTGGTTTATTTGAAGCTTACTGGTCGTCAAAAAAAGATCATAATTTTTCGATAAAAAAAAGCTTATTGTACATTTTTCAGGTATGAGAAATATAACTCAATCATTTTGTCGTAGAAAAAATCAAATTACTGAAAAACGAATTTGGATAACTTTAAAAAGATCTAAATAATTATATCTAAGATGGGAGTCATTTTGGAAATCAAAGACATAATTTTAATTACAATTGAAAAAATGCTTATCATATAGTTTTCAAAAATGAAAATTTTATGATAGAACTTTTTTCACAAACAAAAAAACAAATTTGAGATAAACATTTTAGTTCCTTTTTTGTTTGCAAATTTGTTCTTGTGCTCAAATATAAATTTCACGGAAAACAATGTTGCCTGCAAATTTTGACTTTTTGTGTTAATAAAAGATTCCAGGTTGAGTTTTCACCCAAACACGAGTTTTTTGCTTTTTTCTCAACAACCAAACTTTTCAAACCAAAAATTATCTAAGTCTATACAAAAAGTTATGTTTTTGGTGTATAAATTCATGTGAAAATGTTAAAATTACCTTAAACGGCCAAATTGCTAAAATCCCCAAATGCAGTTTACCAGCGTGCTAACTGCCAATTACCCTCTGGGTTATCTTATGGCAAAAATCCCGTGTTTAGTGTTTCGGATGAAACACAAAACAGAAAATAAATAAAACTTTTTTGTTCTTCCATTTATGGAAAAAATGCTTATCATACAATTTCATAGTATAGAAAAAATGCTTATCATGGTATTTTCATACAAGTTCGGGGATACAAAGAATGATGAAAAAGCTCAAACTTTAATTCCGGAGTATGAAAATAATGCTTGTTATAAAATTTGATAGTATGGAAAAAGTAATTATTTTGCTATTCTCTTTTCATACACTTATTTTTACCCTGAAATTGTTACCCATAATTGAAAGAGTATGAAAAGCATTTTTTTCATATTTGAAAAATGTATGATAAGCTTTTTTTCTCAAGCCGGGCCGTTGTATGAACTAATTTCTGCGCGTTTTTGAAAATTAGTCTGTGTGCAAGTTATCCCGCACCCAAAATTGTTCCAAATTGATTTGAAAACGCTAATAATTTTCCCGTTTTTTTTCTGTTTGATATAGGCTGTTTGGGATGAAAAGAAACAATGATAAAAGTTCAAAGTTTATGTTTCGTACGAAAACTGTTAAAAAAAACTTTTTGTCAAAGTAGTAGTTGTTCGAAAGCTGTGATTTATCTAAAACCGTGGAAAAAGTGTTAAGCGCAGTCGCAAAAATCAGGGCATTTAGGGCCACTTATTTGTTATTCTTGATCTTTTTTCCTATAACGATGCTGATTGGTTTAAATTGCTTTTCTATTTAAAGAGCTGGCTACCTTTTATCTAACTAAAAGTTTTCGATTTGTTTCAATTTAAAACTTATGATCCTTTTTTTCCTATCACAATGCTCATTAGTTAATATTTTTTAATTTAAGGAGCTTTTAAGGAATTGTCAATTTGTTTCTGTGGAAATTAATGTGTTACCACCTCTGAAGGTGAAAAAAGATTTTTCGTCGGATGTTTTTTAGTTCTTTGAATTTTTACCGCCCAAATTTGGTTATTTCAAATATTTGTCGGAAAGAGTCAAGAAATGTATCGAAACAAACCCAATTTATACGTAATTCGAGAAATTTTATAATTTTCAGCCAAATTTCTATAGTTATCTTCCGATTTTCAGCAAATAAAACGACTGAGCAGACTTGTAAAAGGTGGATAAGCTTTTATTTGAGCCGCAAAAACTTATTTTTCTCCTGTAAAATAGTTTTTTTTTGAATTATTAGCGCTGTCTTGGGGATAAAATTTTAAAAACTTCTGAAAAAAAAAAGAAATTTTAGTTTTTCTCAAATCGATTTTTTTTCATTGTTTAAGAAAACTGTTGTAAAATAAGTGCTAGGTTTTCGTTAGGCTTTCATTAGACCTCTTATTAGACTACGGACACAATTTGAAATAAAGAAACTGTTTTTTTTTGTAGTTATCTGTGCAACTTGCTGTGCAACTTGCTTAGCAACCGGCAGTACTTGTTTTTACAGAACGTTAGTGAAATAGAGTTCGTTGAATGTATACGATAGCAGATAATAAATACTAATTTATTCTAACCTGAATGACTCTACCTTATATACCAACTGCCCTAAATTTATTAGAATTTCAGGACTGGGAGATATTCACTCACGTGGACATTGTTGAAGGCAATCCGAACTGCATCCCACATACCAACTTCTTTCCCAGTGGCAACAATAAGACCGAGGAGAAGAAATCGAAGGCGAAGAAGCCATTGCAAGCATTGGAGTCTGTCAAAGCCATAACCAAGGTATCCTAAAATTACTAATTGATGAATCTTGACCATAAATTGATAGTTGACACGACTAAGGTACATGGAACGCATGTCTGAAAACCATTGCAAACGGATAACTGCCAAAAGATTGATCTTTGTTTATATTAGTAGTATCCTATTAAAAATCAAACCGAACTTTCTGAAAAAATGGATCACAAAATATCATTAAACAATTCAGAAAACTCACTGCCACTTTCGAGATGCTGCAGCTTTTGGACTTTGAAAGTCGAAACATGAGTCAAGCACTTCGATCTGAGAAAACCTTTTAATTGTCTTACCCTTTTTCAGAACCAGATATCTCTAATGGGAAGTGGAAAATCTAAGGAGAAACCTGGCACCAAGCAATCCAGCCAATGTTCCACAATGAGTTCGTTCCTGAGTGCCAGATGTCGCATTAGGAGGAGATCACAATTCTATCTGTTGAACATTTTGTTTTCAATGTTGACTCTCATTTGTCTATCCTTCGTCCCTTTTTCCATTCAAAGGGAGTAAGTAACGTTTTCTCTTATAGCCATTCATTACCAATGTAATATGTATCTTTGTATCCGTATAATGGTTTTTTACCAAGCTTTTGATTAACAACCCAGCCATAATTTTGGGAGAACTTTACAAAGCTTTAGAAATACCCCTTTTTGCATAAAGTTTCTGCAACGCAGTCGATTTTGCGGACAGAAAGAGCCTTTCAAGCTTGCTTTGTTGTGAGTTTTCAATTTTTTCTCTTTTGTAACTTGAAATAATTTTACAGAATTTTTGAGTTTTCATTTCCAATAAGATTTCCATTAAAGTTTTTGAATCTTGATTTCTTGATTTTCAATGAATTCTAAAAAATATCAAACTATTCCCCTTAAACTATTTAAGGGGGGGGGGATTGACTTCGCAGATCAAATCAATACAGCTGCAGCATTAATACTGCCAAGTTTTAAAAGCAGATCTACCTCATAGAGTTTTTCATTTTCAAATATACCCCATGATTTAGTTATGCGTTTACCTGAGATCGGATATAATATCAAAAAAAAATCCAAATTGAGAATATGAGGATGCAAATCTGAGAAGGAACGCATTTGATCACATTTAAAGTTCCGTTGCAAAATTGGTGAAGCAACAAGACTGATTTGTACTGCGAGGCTAATTCGTGAGTGCAGCTCTTTGAGAATTGAATTTTGAAGACTTCCTAAAGTGATTCAATGAGCAGATTTTTGTTTAAGAAAATTAGCAGCATACATAGAAAATCCCGCATCAAAATTTCGAACATTACGAGGCCAAACTTTGCACTGGATAGGCGCGCAATTTGGTGTCTGTAGGCCAGTGGAATGCAGAGACAAGTATTTAAACATTTTCCAAAATGCAAGTGGACTCCACATACAAAACTTCCGTGGTTTCTATGTACAAATACCTGTATCGCAATTTTTGTCGGCACATTTGTTTTCTCAGATTCCGGAACTAACGAATGTGGCTAGTTGTTCTGGATTTCACAACGGCAAGCAAATTCCGCAAAAGGAACGTAGATTCCACAATTTTAAGTCCAACTCGCAAAATTTGAAGAGTATTCCAAAATTTGAGAGAAGTCCTCAAAATCTGAGCGAATTTTGCATTTTTGTAATTGAATTAAACTGAACCAGTTCTTGCGTATAAACAATCAAAAACTAGAGCTAAATTTTTTATATAGCAAATGTGGAATTTAAAAGCAATTACTTAACCATTGTCAGCAAAATCCACGAACAAATCTTAATTCATTGGTGAACTAAATTGTGAATCTTTTAGTATTTAGGATTAATTTCCCACCAGGAAGCAACTTTTGGGGTCATAGTTTTGGAAAGACAACACCTCATCACCGATTAAAAAATTGTTTGGGTTTGAGGGGTTTGAAAGGGTTAGGAATAAAATCATTATCTGGGATTAGTGGTATGGTTGAGAGTGATTTCAAAACATGAGGGCAGTGTTTGATATGAGATTATATAAAGAGTTCAAGTCATGAGGGCAGTATTTGAGGAACAAAGATAGCTGGTTGATGTGCAAGTACCACAGGAATTCAAGACCACAGTTATCTAAAATACAGAAAAATATATAGATTTAAAAATAAATGAATGTTTCAAACGGAAAAAAATGAAGAACAAAGATACCTGAAATGGGACGCAAAAAACCAACCTACGTCATAGTTCCTTTTACCCCTTTTATGCGTGGTCGTAAAATTTTGGATGTACTAATTACGTCATTCATGTTACAGTTTAGTAAAAAATTATAACAAATATGTTTGGTAAAAACTCGAATTACGTAAACTTTTAAATTTTTAATTTCAAAACTAAAATGCAACGTATCTTTTTGACTAATGACGTTTTCTCGGGTTTTCTGGGCTGTAAATTTCACGAAACTTTTTAGCCGGAAATTATTTTATATTTATTATAGTGGAGTGCAGTTCAGAGTGGGAACGACACTGACTCTTCTGCTGACGACGTTCACCTTCCGTAGCATGATCTCATCCCTTCTTCCATCCACCTCCTACTTCACCCTCCTCGACAAGGTCAGACACAGGTCAAAGGTCATGAACATAATAGGACCCCAAAAAAAATAATTTTTGTGCACTACTTTACTGCTCGTTTTGTCAAGATATCAAGTTGAATCATAGCAACTAAGCTCATGCTTGAACTCTGGGTCAAACTATCCTCCGCCAAACCCCCCCCCCCCGCAGTTCAAGTTCAATTTGGCTTACTATTGCTTAGCGCTGTGTGTAAAGTATTATATTCTGATGTTCTGAAATTCAAGAATATTCCAATTGAAAAGCAAGTTTGCATCCAAAAACCCTAAAATTATTCTATGTTAATATTAACCGAAGTTTCTTCTACGAAATCAGTAGGACTTCAGGATCAAGTTAACATCCTCCCCCCAAATAGACCAAGTTAAGATCCTCCACCCCATCGTTCAATATAAATTAAATTTGCTAAGCACTGCGTGTGAAAAGCTCAATTCTGTTTGGCTGAAAATTCCCACTTAGAACCAAGTTAACATCCTCCCCCTAAAGGTATTTGGGGAGAAGGATGTTAACTTGGTCCGGACTGCAATTGATCAAAACATATCCTGGACGAGTACACTTGTAAATAATTGATGTGGCTCCTTGCTGGACTTTAAGCAGTCAGTGAGCCTACCTGTCTTATTAACCTACGACTTGACCGTGTAACTTTCCTCGGGAAAAGCATATAAACTGAACAGCTCAGCTTATCACTTATTCAATAGCTGCAGTCCGACTATCTAAAGCCTCTCTCAAAACAATCAATGCGCTCTAAGTTAAGATAATTCGTCAAACTTGGTTAAATTTGGTGTTTGAATCAAGATTAAGAGTGAAGACTTCGAGTGCGATGCGTTTTAAGACTTAATAATTGATGTATGATGAAGTTTTCCTTGGATATATGAATATGCTGGTACCATGAAATAGTTGAATAAAATAGTTTTAAGTAGGCATGTCGATCAACAAGCTATTATTTATCTGACTTTAAAGGAAAAGGACGGAATGTTTATGCTAGTGCAGGACTTTTCTTCCGACAATTTTTGACCTTAACTGGAAAATTTTGACGGAACTTTTTTTGCAGTCTGAAAGATATTGAGGCTCTCGCACTCTGCTCCCCGTTTCATTTGCAATTTTACAAAATTGATTTCTCAATATCATAACTTATTGAGATTTTGTATGGTGAACAAAAGCATTGTTGTGAACCTATTTTTTCTCATAGCTTCCATCGCAACAACACGCATTTAACACGGTAAATTACCGTGGAATTCAAAGCTGAAATGTGCTCAGGGGGTAAAAACTAGCCGGTTTTGATTGCTTGAGCTCAAAATTTATTTAAAAAATTATACCATCTGAAGAAATTAGCATCTTGAGCTTGGAGGTTTTAGATTCGCTGTCGTTGCGTGCGGGTGATGTATCATTTCTTTGCCCAGAAAACATTCAAAACTAAAAGTGTGTAGTTTTTAAACAGAACCACACCAACAGGTCTCGATAAGGAAGAGGTCTCTTGTATCATTTATCTAATGGATAAACAGTGGTCCGACAGAAAAAAAAGAGCCCGGGTTGAGGTTTCGACTTTATGTTTTGACCGAAGTGGTCGAACCAGATGCCATTGTGCGCCGAGCCAAAAAAAAGCCATAGTCGCGCCGGGCCTATAGTCGAACTGGATCGCAATATAAAGTCCAGTTGGTTCGAATCATGAAATTGGACTGGGTCGAAATATTAGATCGAACTTGTTCGAAACAAAAAGTCGAAGTGGGTCGAAACATTAAGTCAAACTGAAATTTGACATTAAAAGTTTTGTCTAGTTTTTTGCTTGGAAACTTTAAACAAGCAATTTGCAAAAAAAATTCAATGAAAGCTTAAAGTGCAGTTACCTAGACCAATGAACTTGCTGTAGGCCTACACATGGTCTCAAAGTAAAAATCTAAGCAAAGTTTACATGGTAACACCTAAAATGTGGGTACCAGAAAACTGAAAGCTAAAAATTTCAAATAAATTTTTATAGGATTTAAATAGAATTAAGAAAAAAAGACTACTAAAAGACAAACATTACTTCCCTTAAAGCTACAATAGAAAATTTATATTATGTTGAATTTTTTGCTTATAAAACTTTTACAAAATGCAAATTGCGAGACAACACGTGATGAATGGATTTTTGATGTGCAGTTAGTTAGATCAACATATTGGCTGATAATATACAAGACCGCAATGAGAAGGCCTACGCATGGTCCCAAAAAAATCAAAGCAAAACTTCTAGGGCAGCTATTTGGGTGGATGATACTTTTTTATCAAAGCTTTCTCCGTATTCGCCATATTGACTCACCGACTGCTTGTCGAAACAGTCGTTCTCCGTAAAAAAAACCCATCAGCTTGCATTTTGGTCAGTTCGATTGAGAATGCTTGATCTCAACTTATAAACATGGTCTCCATAAGTTTCATACTCATCGTTAATTTGGAGAAAAAAAATTGGTAAAAGACTTCATACCGAGATTTTCGATTGTGTTACTGTTTTTGTAGTTGATTTGATCATCGAAAAAAAAAAAACTCCAGGTTGCGGTGTTTTTAAACATCCTTAACATCTCAAAAGAATTTAATCATCTTGAAGTTTTTTGGGCTGTTATTTGAATACAACAAAAACTAAAAGTTTTTGAGTATCATTAAAAAACTCCTTGAAAAAAACTCTCAAAAGAATTCAATCATCTTGAAAAACTCCCTTAAAAAACTCTCAAAAGAATTCAATCATCTTGAAGTTTTTTGGGCTGTTATTTGAATACAACAAAAACTAAAGTTTTTGAGTATCATTAAAAAACTCCTTGAAACCGAAAACCGGTAATTTCTAGTCTCTTTTTCTGTGAAGCAAGCATCCAAAACCATGAGACCTACTCTCAGCTGTATTACTTATACTGAAAAAATGTTTTATCACTCTCTTTCTTCCACAAATATGTATACTTAAAATTCACGCTTGGTTAAAACTATATGTTGCAATCTTAGGAGTTACTTTTGCATTTTTCTTTTCCATTATTTTTTTTTCGTTTTTTTTGGTTACTGCTTTTTTTTCAAAATGGTGTTCAAGAATCAATTATTTTTTATTTGTTATTTTTGTTCATTTACTATTACAGTTACTGTTGTACCCATTCTATAGCATAAACACTTAAAAATTTAACGTGCCGAAATGTCAAATTGCCATATTTTTGGGAGATTTTAATTTTTTTTGTCATCAGAGGTTAAACTACATCTTCAAACAATTAACGGGAAAACTGAGCAATTAGACAACTCGTTCTAGAAGAAAATTTAGAATTTTTTACACTTCACTTTACAAAAAAAAGCTGTCTCACTTGCTCAATATTGCAAAGTAAACTTTTGGCACGTTAAAAAAGCGCGGAAAATTTGTTTAAATTAGCAAAAATGCAACTTAAGCAGCAAAACTGCCAGCAGTGAAAAACAACATACACCTTTTGCTTTAAAATAAAATGATTATAATATGCATTATAGTTCCCAAAATTATTACATGCATTATTCAAACAGTTTACAAAACGGCCACCCAATGGAACATAAATCCGTTTCTAATGTTTTCATTTCTTTGTTTCAGATGTCGCAGAGAAAACTTTAACTTATTTTATAGTCACTTTGCGCATGTAGTTTTTTAGCTGAGCTGAAAATTAGATTTTTGTCTACTTATATACTTGAAGACAAAATACTAATTTTCAGCCTAAATAGATCACTGCTTGAAAGCGTTTGAGTTAAAGAGCATGCCAAATATCTTAGAGCATACTCCAAGACATTTGGCGGGGCTAGGTTTTTTACCAGACAGATTTTTCGCCAGACCATCTATTCACCAGAAAAGCTATAATATAGACCGGGGCAGTACAACAAGGCCGAAGTACAACAGGGCCAAAAAATTGTTGTTCAACAGTATCAAAAATTGTTTTGACTACTGTTTTCACTGGTCCCAAATCACTAAAAAGTAAATTAATTCAATTCGACGGAAGTTGAAAAGTCAAAAACAGCCATTTTAAATGATGCGCGCTTGTTAAAGAACAAATTTCTAAGAGCGCAGCGTCATAATTTTTTCTGAACAAACAATGACTTCAGCAAATTAGGAATTTTTCTTCTCGGTTTCGCTCACAAACAAATTATAAATCGTATATCTTGTCAACAATTCGAAAACAAAGCTCAAAATTTCAAATATCCCCGGTTTTTGGCACTGTTGAACTCATTATCAGCTTGGGCACTGTTGTATCTTAGCACTGTTGAACGCACCAACTTAGACTTTTTAACATAGACTCGACAAACTAAATTGATTGACAGTTGTAATGAGACCGTTTAGTCTGATTAATGACCATATTTTCACAGTTTCATACCGAAGTTTTGTTTGTTCTAACGACTTCATAACCTTATTTTTATTGAATTTTTCCATTGTGGTGTGGTAAATAGTCGGTCTGGCAAAAGATGGGTCTGGTAAAAGACCTAGCCTCGCTAAAGGTCATAGCGTATACTTTAAGATTTTTTTGCATGCTTTTCAACAAAAACGTTTTCAAGCAGTGATTTATTTGAGTTGAAAACTAGAGTGTTTTCTACTTTTATGCTTGTAGAATAAATTCATATTTTCAGCCCAATTAAATCACTACTTGAAACATTTTGTTAAATAATCTGCAAAATATCTTAGAGCATACTATAAAATATGTGGCGGGGCTAGGTCTTTTATCAGACCGACTTTTTGCCTGACCGACTTTTTACTAGACCACAATGCAAGAGTTCAGTTAAAATATGATTAAATTAGGGAAAAATTCAAAAAGGAAGCGGTTAAAACAAACAAATTTAAAACAAACAAATTTAATCACATTAAACGGTGTCATTGCATCTGTCAATAAATTTCGTTTTTTTTTGTGTATATGCTAAGAAATCTCTGTCAGTACGTTCATCCATGCCAGAATAAACAAAACCGAAACTGATGGTGTGTCAACAATGCCAAAAATTGAGGATAATTGATAATTTTGGGTAGTTTTTGGAAACTGTTAGCAGTTTTTTTGAAAGCTAATTTGTTTTGGAGCGAAACCGAGAAGAAAATTGACAATTTGCTGAGCTAATTGATTGTTCAAAAAAAGTTAATTTTCAACTTCCGTCGAATTGAAGTAATTTTCTTGTCAGTGATTCGGGATTAGTTAAAACAGTTTTCAGAACAATTTTCGGCATCGTTGAACAACATTTTCTTTTTCGAGCACTGTTGTATTTGGCACTGTTGTAGTACCCCGGTCTATGCTATAGCTTTTCTGGTAAAATGTCGGTCTGGTAAACTGTCAGTTACCATATTTGGCATGCTCTCTAACAAAAACATTTTCTTTTTTAAAAAATATTCTCTGTTGGAAAATGAACAGGCTCAGAACCTATGCTTACTTGTGCAAAGAACCGTTTATTCTTAGTAAACAAATAATTAGTTTTTTTTTTCAGTACCTGTTGGGGCAGACCACCTACCTGTCTGCAATGGTAGTGAACTACGGGTGTCTGGTGGTGGTGTACCGCAAGTGTGGGGACTCCTTAAGTTTCAAAGTTGAGATGATAGTGCTTCTTATCGTACTCACACTTCAATTCAGTCTCCACGGGTACCTTCTAAACAGGTAAACTTATTTTTATTTACGATAAGAAAACATCTGTTCAAAGCAGCAAAAATATACTCCTACAAAGAATCGTGAGATTTCGAATTTTAAATAGGCTTTTTTTCCTTCTTCTTTGAGCTCGCCCCTGCTTGATTTCAAGTAAGCCTGGCGAAACTTTTCACGAAACAACTTTTTGAAGCCACACACATTCATCTGCTAAACTAGAATAATTAGAATAAACTGAGGATAATTTGTTTTTGATCAGATTGCACTTACAATTATCGCATGCTAATAGGCATATACATGCTTATCGGTACGTCACTATGGAGAATTTATGACCAAATAGCACTCCGTGTTTCAATTAGAACCAATTTTGAGATAATTCTTCAAGCATAACTAATTCTTCTAATTCTTGTTGCTCTTTCAGCAAGATATTAAAAGATTTAGGACATTTAGGACAATAAGGAGATTTTGTTTTTTTTTCGTTAAAAAAGCCATTTTAACAAATTAAAGTATATCACGTCCTTGTTTTTGTTTTCCGTTTTTGAAAACCACGTGTAGATATATGTTCTTCGGATGGATTTAAGTGAGTGGAAATCTTTCCAACAAAAACTTATCAACCAGATCTGAGCATTTTAAAATATTGCTTATTTCAGATATTGTCCAGACATGGTGAATGTTTCGTTTTGACATGGTAATGTCTGAATCAAGACTGAAGCAGGTATGGATTTGGTCACAAAGCAGACCTTCTCAAGGCCTGATTCAGACCTGGAACATGTATGGGTCAGATCTGCTCAGATAGGAACCAGATCTGCACCAGATCTCACCCATATATCTTCCAGGTCTGAATCAGGACTTGAGCAGATATTCATTTGTGATAGAATCGATGCCTGCCTCAATCCTGACTCAGGCATGTCCAGGTCCAAACGAAATATGCACCATGTCTGAACAAGATCTGAGTTAGGCAAGATTTTAAGATGCTCAGATCTGAATTCCAAATTTTTGTAAGGTACGGGTAACAACTTAATTGTATGAAACAACTTACAGTCTTTTCAAAAAAAGCCAATACATAACTGATTGTTTTTTCAAGATTGAACAAAAAACTTCCAAATCCGCAAGCAAAAGCTGAAATTTTTATTATGCAAAAACAAGTTCATTTTCATATTACAGTTTCAATTAAAGTAAAAAAAAGGAGTGAGTTTTTTCAAATAGTTTTTGATATTATGATTTCAATACAACTTTCAAGATTATTAGTAACAAAAACTAGCAACAGATATCAACAATAAAAAGTACCAAAAATTCTACTACAGAAAGAATCCCCGACTGATTTTATGCTTCGGATTATAATTGTATTTTATTAAAACATTTGCTAAAACCGGCTCTTACTGTGTGTATTTTGTAAAATATTTGTCTATAATTTCGATCTAAATGTCTTGAATAATTTTAATATTAGTGTACTTTAGCAAGAGCGCGGGTGGCTCACATTTCACAATTGAGAAGAAGGTCGCGAGAGACTTAAAAAACAAAAATACTCATCTCTAGAAGATTTTTTTTGGAGTTTAAATTCATTCCTTTAAAATATGGAAAAAACCAAATGGGCAGTTTGAAAAAAATCAATGAACTCAAATAAACAGAAAACAACTTTTTTTCCCAGAAAACCTCAACATGCGAAATTCCAAGAAAAAAAGTGGGTCCTTAACTCCCTTTGAATTTCGAAACGAATTTCTGACTTGATTGACACTTCTTTGCTAAAAATCAACTTTTTTTGAAAAAACTGGATTCAAAGTTTTTATTCCGCTGGTAAATCTAAAAAAGAAATTTTACTTTCGATTCTAGAAGTCGTTCACGTTGTTTTGGCGCCTTTTTCAAGTTCCTATTTGGCGAGCGAAATTTACCTAACTTTCAGAAGCAGATGAATTTACAATGAATTCAAAACGTGCATATATACCTAAGTCAGGGGCAGATTTAGGGGGGGGGGCGGGGGGGGCGGACGCCCCCTCCTCAGGGATTCGAACCCCTGCCAACCCAAAGGGTCCCCCCTTTGGTACTTTTTAAGAAATCCATTTTTGGCCGACCGACCCTAAAGTTTTTCTAAAGGCGCCTTCGGCGCCAATATATACTAGTTTTGAGGGGGAGCGCGCGCCAAAAAAACGCGTTTTTTTGTCAAAATTTTCCAAAAAGTGCCCAAAAACGGCTTTTTTGACCTGTTTTTTCAAAAAACTGCCTGCGGCGCAGAAAATTTGGCCAAAACAGGGTCTTTTTTTTCGCTATGAGAGAGCTCGGAAAATCAATCTGATCGACCTAAAAAAAAAAAAGGTCGTCAAAATTTTCGAAAATCCGCCCCCCCCCCCCCCCTCGAGAAAATCCTAGATCCGCCTCTGACCTAAGTCCTTTCATAAATGCATTAAGGTGTATGATTGCATGCACATCTGTAGTTATTAGAGCATTTTAAGACTTTTTTATGACAAAAAACATGCAATGAACATAAAAATTTCAAAAAAAAATATCAAGACCTATATAAAAGAAAATCCTTTGAAAAAAAAACAAAAAAATCACCCAGACCTTTATAAGAGTTTTCACTTTGTTCATCGACTCTTAATATAGGGTGCAGAAATAGAAAAAATGAAAAAAAAACAAATGGAAGCGTACAATTTTCAGTTGAGCAAAGTAATCGAAGTTCGGAGTTACTTAACATAAATTTTGTCGGGTAATCATTCATGATTAGTTACAGGGTAAAAATCATTGGTTGATACCGTTTTCATTATTAGTTGCAATAAGAACTGCTCGTGTTCCTACTATGGTAATTGTGCAGCTTCAATGAAATAATTGCCAAAGTTGATCGAGATATTTTCAAAGAAAATTTACTCGTTTACCTGAAAATGTACAATCTAAAAACATTTTGAATATCAATAGTTTTTTTTTAAAATTAGTGAGTGGTTGCATCTCAACATCTTGAAACATCAGCTAAACAAGATTCCAGAATACTAATGACAAAAAAAAATAGAATTTTTATTAAAAACACTCTTAGCATAAAAGTTTCAAAAGTATTTGTATGTTTCACAAAACTTCTAATAACAGGGTGAAATTTTGAACGTTTCAACTGTTTTTTTTTTGTTTGAACGTTGTGACGTTGCGTCGTATTAGGACTAATTTGATAGACTCAATTCAATTCGCCGCTATAAACACGGGTTAATAGAAAGATAAAAATTTAGCTTCATTTTAATTATGCCTAGTCAAGTCAAATCGGCAATTCGTAAACCCTACAATAACTTCTCAGGAGCTTTTTTGCAAATATTTTGTTATTTTGAGGCCAAGGTATACAAAGTTTTCAGACTGAATAAAAAGTTTGGTTCGAAAACTGCTAGTTAAAGAGTCAAAGTTTGTCTGCAGAAAAAAAAACTGGTCAAGTTCAATTGCGTTAGGATTAGTGATGATATGTTACAGTATGTGCCTTTTCAAGTTCAAAAGCTGAATCGTTCTTTTTTATATCTCGAACAGTACTTAAAGGCAAATAAATTTGAATTTTGGATCAAAATAATTTATGGCAGAGTTTTGAAGTTGTCACCTTGTAATTTTGCTTCGGATTAGTTTGTAAACCAAAAAAACTCTTCTCCACTTTTTTTAGAAATCGACCAAAAAACTTGGGAATTGAATTCATATTTTTTGGTTTTCAGGTTTTTCACTAGAAGAAGAAAGGCAAAAGTTTTCATTAGAGATTGCGAAAAGCGTTACGAGGAGCAAGTGAAAAACATCCTTTCTCAAGGACCTCGACGAAGGTTCTCGACTTTCACAGAGAAAGCCAACAGGACTTTTGTGAAGGACTCGTTGAGTTTCGGAAGCCTGACTAACAGCGGCCGGGAATCGTATAGCAGTTATATTGAGTCGTCGCCCCCGTCGCGGTCACAGTCTCAAAGTCAGAATAAAACGATTAGCGAAGGAGCGACGCTGGAAATTGAACCTGACTCAGAGAAATTTGAGAATGGATCAAGCGCAGTGAACAAAAGTGTGCGATTTCCCATTGCGACTGAAAGGATGGATCAATAAAAAAATGATTTTTTCGAGTTTACTTCGATTTTGTGAATTTTTGTATTGCACAATTTGCCTAAAATTTTACCAGAAACAAAAACTTGCGCTAACAAAAAAAACAGATTTCCGAGGATCAAAAAATTTTAACAACTGTTTTAAAATTCTTTTTTTTTTAAATTGCTCAATGATTTCACTCTGCTCATTGTATATGTGCTATTCTATCAATTGTATTTGATGTAAATGTTTTATTGTGAGCAGTATAAGTTGTTGAATAATGTAGATTTATTTAAACAGATCAAAAAATTATAAGTAAAATTCCTGAGAGTTTTCTGAGAGAGAATCTACTCAAAAAAAAATAAGAATAATTGTGTTTCAAATAGCTCGGGTTGACCAAAATGTGCAACCATACGTCGCACCATGCATGGTTCCATGCGAGCCATGAAAAATTGCCGGCGTATTTTTGTGTTCAAATAACACATTTTCCATGCATGACGCGACGTATGATTCCACATTTTTTAAAGTATGGGGGACTTCAAATTAGACAAAATTGATACTTTTACTAGGGATGTTGATAGTTTATATGTCACCATGGAAGCTTGCAATGTATGGCTACTATGGTATCATGCATGGCGCGACGAATGGTTACTATGGTACCATGCATGGCGCGACGTATGGATACCATGGAAACATATATGGCGCTACATATGATTGACAAAGAACCATATTTGGTGCGACATAGAAACTGAGTAATCAAATAAATTCAATATTCTCGTGGGCATCCAAAAAGTGCTCTGAACGACCTCAAAGAACGACGCTAAAAGTTATAAAGTAAATAAAATCAATAGGCCGGCAGAAAATGTTAAGTTTGGTTTTATATATTAAAAAAAAACTTTTTTTTCGATGTTAGAACTGTTTTAAATATTTGATTGTTTTACTATTGAATAATTATCCTAATTTAAAACTATGTTGTGATAATCAGAAACGGTCCGTTGAAGCAGAATTCTGTTTTTACTCCTGTTCCATGATGTGCCCAAAAAATTGTTCCGAAATGAAAAATTTAAAAAAAAATCAAAATTTTTTTTTTTCACTTTTCTTTACACGTTTTTTGTCCAAAAGTGTTTTCTCAGCTTACTTGTCAATATTTGAAACTGCAATCACACCCCAAAATTAAATGACAAAATTTGGTATTGGTTGTGATATCGCATGCTCAATGAAAGTTGTTTTTGTATGGAAACATCATTTCCATAAATAGCACCATATATGGTGCGACGTATGGTTTGCATGGTGGAAAAAAATTAAAATCTAATAAAAGTGTATTTTGCACTACAGATACTTTTTCTCAGTCATTTTGTCAATTAACCTCTATTTTTACGGTTTTCTAGAGAAAAAAAATATGGTGAAAAATCTCTTCCATACGTAGCACCATATATTTGCGACGTATGATTTGCATGGTGAAAATTTTTAATATTTTACCAACAGCTTGCATAATGATGAGAAACCATTTTAATACTAATCTACTCCGTTAAAAAGCTATTTTGAGGGTTTTGGAAACCAACGTTTGTGCTACGCATGATTAGTCATTTTCCATACAAATCATGCATGGATAATAAACAAAAAGAAATTTTTTTTTCTAAAATTTGAAAATTTTTATGAAATCATCGCCCCACAAGCCATATAAAGTACAAAAGGATAAACTTCGCTCCTTGTAACAAAACAATTATGGCAAATAAGTTTCTTTTCACCAATTTGGAACGGTTTCTAAGACGGATTAACTCTCGGCTTACGCGTTAATTGCGCGAAATATACAGTGCTGATTTAAATTAACCGGACAAAACGCGTTAAACTTGAAATTTAAAACCCGTTTTTCACACATTGGGTTGAGCTTAGGTAAAACGTTATGAGGTCACAACTTGCTTAAAATTTGAGCAGAACTAATAGGGTGTGATTTGTTTTGCGAAATTCGGGCCCGAAATTTTAACCAAAAAATGGGTCATTTTGGCTTTTCTTAGTTTAATCAAAAATTACGCCAAAAATACCCAGTCGATCACCAAGATATTTATATCAAAGTGAGCCCCTTATGCAGCCCAACAAACTCGTTGAAAGGTATTTTCTCCAAAAAAATTGCAAGTTGTTTAAAAATTGTTTTTAAAAAAAAAGTTGGTATTTTATTTAGAAAAAACGACCTTTTTTGTCTATCAAACAAAATAAAATTAACTTACATAATATCTTGGAGGTTATACCCTTCTTAAAGTTTGCTAGGCTGCGTAAGGGGCTCACTTTGATATATTTATGTCTGTGATCGACTGGGTATTTTCGGTGTAATTTTTGATTACCTAAGAAAAGCCAAAATGACCCATTTTTGGGGTAAAATATCGGGCCCGAATTTTGCAAAACAAATTACACCATATTAATTCTGCTAAAATTTTACGGAAGTTTTATATTCATAAATTTTCACCTAAACTCAATCCAATTTGAGAAAAACGCGTTTTAAATTTCAAGTTTAACGCCCCAAATTGGCCAAAATGGCAATCTTTAAACCCTCATAACTTTACAAAAAATGTGAAACATCTTTTCAAATTTAAGCTCAGGACAACAATACCTTTTAATGATACAAAAAAAATTCCGTCGAAAATGGCTAGTTAAAAAGTCTGAAGAAATTTGTCTGAAGAAAAAGAAATTTGTCTGAAGAAAAAAAGCCCACCCCGAGCACAAATATTCCGTTACTTTCGTATCGAAAGTCGGAACAATAAGCAGCTGATACAAGTTCAAATTATCCCATTCGTATTCGACTATGGGTTAAAACCAGTGTTTTGCAATAAACTATAGGGACAACAAGCCAAAGTTAACGCCAAAACTCAAAGTTAAAGACTCAGCGGAAAACTGTAAAAGGCTCCAGCAGATCGGTAAGAGATGAAATCACACGTAATATAGCCAGCTGGGGTGAATGTTCAAAAAAAGAAAACACAAGTATTGAGATGACTCAATAAACAAAATAAAGTAGCGTGGAGTCACCAGGAAAACTGAAAAACATTCACAAAATCAGTAGATAGAGAAAGATCTAAAGAAGGAACGAAAAAAAGAAAGAAAGACAGAGAGGGAGAGAAAGATAGATAGATAGATAGATAGATAGATAGAGAGAGAGAAAGAGCGAAACAGACGAAGTTAGAGAAAATTTGAATAACTTTTTAAATTCATAAATCAACTTGATGTTGTGTTTTTTTCTCAAAAAATTGTATAAATTTTGTTGCGACAGGGAAATTATATTCCGTTGCTGCAGAAACAGAATATGAATTAAAATACTTAAAACATTCCATAAAAAAGTCCGTGAAGGCGCCATAGTTTAGTTAGATCACTAATCTGATATGCAGTGCTCAATTCGTTAGGCTTTGGATCAATTTTTTGCAAGGAAAAACTTTAATTCAATACAGCCTGGTTAAAGCTAAAGGAAAAGTCCAACATGGATAAGGAAGTTTTTCAAGAAAAAAGAAAAGAGTTTATAATTCAATCCATTTTATGGAATAAAGTTTATAGAACAATGAGAGCACTTTTTCAGAACAGCAGAAGAACTTTAATGAAATTGTTTGCAAATATAAAGCGAGATTGCTCAAAGCCCAGAAAAGAAGTCAGGTTTGAGTTTGAGGACATTAAGGCGAAATGAAGTAAGGCACGAGAAATTTTGTGCAATTGCTTCAGACCGTTGAGAACCTATGTTGGAACTGCTGAGATCAAATTTAACTACAATAAAATGTAAGAGAATGAAAAAAAAATTGATTATATTTTAAGAGCTATTATATTTTGATTGAACATGAAGAGGTTTCCCTTTAAGTAAGAATTATGTTTAGTCCTTGATTCTTAGCGTTTTCCTTAAGGTTACAGTACTCTGAGTTTAAGACAAAAATTTTTGAATGAGATGTGGCCCGCACCGAAGTTTCATGGGTAATAATCGATTATAATGGATTTTCGTTGACTAAAATGTTATCAATATAATCGATTATCATGTAAAATTTAGATCACCTAATCGATTTATAATCGATTATTTTGGGATTTTATTGCTTCAAAAAATATTATCATTATAATCAGGGGCGGATTTAGGGGGGGGGGGGGGGGGGCGGACGCCTCTCCCCCCCCCCTCTCAGGGACTCGACCCCTTGCCGACCCAAAGGGTCCCCCCTTTGGTACTTTTTAAGAAATCCATATTTGGCCGACCGACACTAAAATTTTTCTAAAGGAATTTTGAGGGGGCGCGCGCGCCAAAAAATCGCAATTTTTTAGTCAAAATTCTCCAAAAAGTGCCAAAAACGCCTTTTTTGTACTGTTTTTTCAAAATTTTGCCTGCGGCGCACAAATTTAGCCTAAAACAGGGAATATACTGTGCGTAGGGAGAGCTCGAAAAATCAATTCGGTCGACAAAATTTAGAAAATCCGCCCCCCCCCCCCTCGATAAAATCCTAGATCCACCCCTGATTATAATCTATTTTCAATCAATTATAATCGATTATTTTTGTTATTTTGTAGAGACTGACAATAAAAATCCAATTATTATCCATGAAACTTCAGTGCGGGGGGACCTTGGTGAAATTGCGCTTCTAAGCTATAGCAGGATTTTGTGCATAAAAATCTATTGGAAAGCGTAACTCCTCGCACTAAAAAGTCACTTCCCACGGTTTAGACAAATTAAAGACATGATGACTCCGATATCACGAGATCAGGCTACAAAAAGCGGTTTAATATCAATTTAAATAGAAAATGAAGTATGATTGCTTTATTGCTCTCATTCAAGTGTTGATTGAAATCAAGGATTTTATAGTCTACCTTCAAAAAATAATGATCACAGCTGAAATATCATTTTAGTTTTTAGCTCAAGCATCGATGTCTATTTTTCGAACTTTCATTCGAAAATTGAATAAAAAACATTTTGCTAACTTAAAATCACGCCATATCCAGCACAGTTCGAGTAATTGCTTTGAGTTTTGAAAAAAAAACGAAATATGTGTCTTCATGAAGCGCTTTCTCCTCTGATATGTTGTACCAAGCTGTTTTTGCTGCGCTATTGACCGACATAGGAAAAAATAATAACAGAAAAGCGGAAATTTTTGAATTGGCTAAATATTGTCTATTTAAAGGATATTCAGAACTTTGTGACCAATCGTTCGATTTACAATTTTAAGTCTATAAAAATACACCAAAAAATGCATTAGGACATAGACTAACACTCAGTTTCAACTAATTTTTCAGTATATTGCGAAATATCGTTTTTTTTGTAATAGAAAAAGTCTTGGGCATTTCATTCCGGTTGGAACAAATGGTCGTCGGCATCAGCTATGACTAGTCGTGACATTTTCGCTCAATGACAGAAGCTACGACTTTTTCCATTTTGATCAGCAGCCCATGTCGTCTCCCGTCGTTCCCTGAAATAACTCTCTCATTTAAGCTGTGTTTTAAGCATTAAAATATTAAAATAATTAAGCATTTTGATAGTTGTCTTTTATTCAAAATGTCCTTTTTCCCCCATGTTAGTTCATGTTAACTGGGTTTTCAATTTCGAAACTTTTGTCAAGTTAGTTTTGGGTTCATTCGCAAACATGTATTTGCAAGCTTAGTTGTCTTGAGATGTTTTTTACTAGTTGTTTATGGTTATGTTTGTTCGCAACTGGTGCCGAAGCAGTTCGCAAACATGTTTATAAACTGAAAATCATTTTTTTATTATATCGTTTGTCTTTTAAATATGCGTTTTAAGTATCGTTTGCATGTCTGTTTCCGTTTATTAAAGTTATATTTTTCTGATGTCTCCTGACCGATATGTTGGGCAGTCCCAGCTGATGAGAGATGGGAGGGGGAGGAAGTTGCTGTCCCCCTTGTTGGTGGGGTGCAGAGGGGGGAGGGAGGTGACTGTGAAGCATGTTGCTGTTCATCTCGGCCTTGAACTTCTCATCCTGCCAGCAGGAGTCATCCAACATCTGAAAATTCGAAATTCTTTTCCTAGCTGTATTTTTTCTTCAACATTTTTCAAATCTTATTTCTTATAACTATGCAAAACCAGCTGCCAGCTTTAACGATTACATGAAGTTGGGCAAATTGGTATAGGTTTACCCCGAAGTAAGGCTCCCCCGGCTGTCCGGTCAGTGGAGGGGGAGGAGGACTCCACCCCATGCTTGTCAGTGGGTACATGTGCTGATTACTCCCCCTGGGAACAGTGTCATTCAGAGGTGGCATGTTGTTATTTCTCCTTCGAGCATTGTTCCCCTGTGACATTAAACAAATATTAAATTAACTCAAAAAGAAGTTTCCTTGAATGTTCTTATCATTCATTACAGTATAACTTTTTTCGTAAATCTTTAGCTGCATAAAAATGCAACTAAATAAAAAATTTATAATTAAAACGAGGAAAAAAAATTGAAACAGAACATTTTGCCTCTAATGTTGTTACTTTTCTGAAAGCAGCATCGATTGTGTTGTGAATATTGATAGCATATTTGTGACAATACTTGACTGGCAATATTAAGTAATATAATTTTTGAAAGTGGTGCCTGCCTGTGATAGCATTCCGTTCGAGTCATTGTTCAGCCTCTGTCCAGTGGGGGTCTTGGAGTAGTCCAGTCGTCTGTTGTCTCTGTGACGTTCTCTATAGTTGTCCCACAACTGGGCCACTATCTCTGACGTCATGAGGGTGTTGGTGTTCTTGGCCAGCAGGCGGATGAGGAAGACCCCGTCGTTCTTCAAGTAGTGGTACACGAAGGTGTTGATCAGTTTCCGGTGCTCTGTCTTGTCGTATCTGAACAAAATATGAGTGTCAATCAATTTCTTTTTAAGTTTTCCTAGAAGAGTGCTTTTTGTTTTTTTTGGAACGTATCCTCATGTTTTGGTTTAGCCCTCGAAAATTTTGAAAATAGCTGTTTTAAAATCGATTTTTTTTTAAATTTGAAGAGATGATGTCTTGTTTCTGAAATTCCAAAACCTTTTCAAAAAAATCTAATATAATAGGTGGGTTTGTAGCCTTCAATTCAGTTTCTTTTTCAGCATAGCGTAAACATTGAGATATCGCTAGTTCATAAAAAACTAATTTTGTGCTTCTCATGAAACAAGTACAAGCTTTTTTAAGAAAAAGCGATGTCCATAGCTGACCTCTGTCACATGAAAATTTTCGTCTTACATAACCTACAATGTAATACATAATATGTCATTTGCGTGTTGCATAACTGACCTGTCCATGAACTTGAGGTGTTTCTTGACGTATGCGATCCTGTCCACGGTGAAGACTAGTTTGAAGGCCCAGTCGGAGAAGTTGACGATTGTGAGACAAATGACTATGACAGTCCACCACCAGATGAAGAAGTAGATCATCTCATTGAACAGATTGATACTCAACACACACTGCACTGTGTAGTCATGGATGTGCACGCCCATCACGCGCACTGAACAGTGAACAAAGTGAACAAAGTGAAAAGTGAACAAAAAATCCATTTTTATTTTGATCAAAAAGAAAACAATTAATTCAAATTGGCTTATATCTAAAACCTTTTCGGCTTCGGGGAGCAGAGTGAATCTTTTAATAAACAATTCGAAAGTTAGGCTTTTTTAAAGGTCGACAAGATTCATTTTATGAGACCTCGTGAAGTATGTAACAGTCATAGGGAGAGGTTGTGATATAATAGAGTGTCAATTTATGAAGTATGTTGCACTGACCGGAAAAGTCGCAGAGTGTGAATCTGGGGAATCGGTGGGATGTTTGCCAGCTGACTCCGTTTATGAAGTCCAACAGTGCCTCAATGCCATACATGTGGTACCTGCAGAAAGTTACAACGCTATTCTGGTGCTTCCTATAATTTACATTAGAAAAACGATAGGTAACTTACAATGACTCATAGTTAAGCTAATTCAACTTAAAAGAGAACAAGACTGCTCGTATCAGGGCGAAGCCCTGAATATTCCGACTGCCTTTTAATGTTTATGGAGCAGTCATAACTTTAAAAAGTTGTAAAAAATGTTTAAAAAAAAACAAAATGAAATTTTTTTTTCTAAAATTTAATATTTCTAAGGAAAATCATCCCCCCACACGCCATATAAAGTACAAAAGGATAGATTCCGCTCCTTGTAACAAATCACTTATGGCAAACAAGCTTCTTTCAACCAATTTGGAACGATTTCTAAGACGGATTAAATCTCCGCTTACGCGTTACTAGCGCGAAATATATCGCGGGTAATTGTCCCAAATTGGACAAAATGGCAATCTTTAAACCTTTAAGCACCCATAACTTTACGAAAAATTATCAAAGGTAAATATCTTTTCAAGTTTAAGCTCAGGACAACAATACCTTCTGAATGATATAAAAGAACTCCGTCAAAAATGGCTAGTTAAAAAGTCGAAATTTGTCTGAAGAAAAAAAAACCCACCTGAGCAGAAATAATCCGTTACTTCTGTATCGAAAAATAGAACAATTAATGTGAATTGTGGCAACGTTAAGTGAGAAGCACATTGGTTTGCATTTGAAAATGATTGAAAAAAAAAATTCTCATTTGGATCAGAAACACCTCCTAGCTCTATGGATTGTTTGAGGGTTCACAAAAGTTACTTTTTAATTTTTTGTTCCGATGTTCGATAAGAAAGTAACGGAATATTTGTGCTCGGGTGGGTTTTTTTTCTTCAGACAAATTTCGGATTTTTAACCAAATTTTTTTTATATCATTCTGAACTTAAATTTGGAACGATATATACCTGTGATCATTTTTCGTAATGCTATGGGGGTTTAAAGACTGCCATTTTGGCCAATTTGGGACAATTAAAACGCGATATATTTCGCGCTATTATCGCGTAAGCGGAGATTTCATCCCTCTTAGAAATCGCTCCAAATTGGTTGAAAGAAGCTTATTCGCCATAATTGATTTGATACAAGGAGCAAAATATACTCTTTTGTAGTTTATATGGCGAGTGGGAGGATGATTTTCAAAAAAAAAATTTCAAATTTTAGCAATTTTTTTTTTCATTTTTTATTACATTTAATTTGTTAATGATATTTATGTTATAACTGCTCCATAAATCCTAAAAGGCAGTCGGAACAATCAGGGCTTCATCCTGGTACGAGCAGTCTTGTTGTTCCGACTTTCGATACGAAAGTAACGGAATATTTGTGCTCGGGTGGGTTTTTTTTTCTTCAGACAAATTTCGACTTTTTAACTAGCCATTTTTGACGGAATTTCTTTATATCATTCAAAAGGTATTGTTGTCCTGAGCTTAAGTTTGAAAAGATTTCACCTGTGATCACTTTTCGTAAAGTTATGGGGTTTTAAAGATTGTCATTTTGGCCAATTTAGGACAATTAAAGCGCGATGTATTTCGCGCTATTAACGCGTAAGCGGAGATTTAATCCGTCATAGAAATTGTTCCAAATTGGTTGAAAGAAGCTTATTTGCCATAATTGATTTGTTACAAGGAACGAAATATATCCTTTTGTACTTTATATGGCGTGTGGGGGGACGATTTTCATTTAAAAAAACTCAAATTTTAGAAAAAAAATTCATTTTGTTTTATTTCATTTAATTTTTTAAATGTTATTACTGCTCCATAAAACTTGAAAGGCAGTCGGAACATTCAGGGCTTCGCCCTGATACGAGCAGTCTTGTTATGTTTGCATGTTGATCTCTCTGAGATTAATGAGGCTGTTTTTACTTATTTTCCAAATTATTCCTAATAATCAAAGGCTTAAATTAGCTCTTCAAATATATTATATTTCAAACTAATAAACAAAACTAAAGTCATATTGTTATTATTATTAACTGAAGTTATATTGAATTTGATGATTGAAGTAAAAGTGACCTGTGTCCTAGGAACTCGTTGAGGGCGAATAGTTGTGCGATGGCGTTGAATATGTAGAGGAACTTGGAGAACAGGTAGAAGATGCAGAGGTAGGTGCCCTGGCGTCTGTTGCACATGAAGCAGAACACCTGTTTGCACTGGGGCCAGCAACCCCTCCGGTACTCCCGCTGAGAGCCAAAGTAGCGGTCCAGGTGCTGAAACACAAACAAAAATTAAGGGCGGATGAAAGGTAATTCTAAAAAAAATTGGATTAATTTAAAAATAGCTTAGCAAGTGCATATCTGAACACATTCCTACGCATACACCGATGAGCTTGGAACTAATTTTGAGAGCGGTTTTGAAGCCCAAAAAAGAAACGACCAATTCTGAAGGAGCATGTATGAGGCGTGCATTACTTTTTTGCATCAAAAACGTATCCTTTTTTTGAAAACAAGTTGTTTCTGCATCTCATTTTGAAAGATTATTTTTGAAGCAAAATTTCAGTCAGCTTTTGTTGTTCAAAGTGAAAAAGGTGCCAAACATTCAGGAGAAAACATGGTCAGAACTATAGAAGTCTTAAAACATATCTTTGATTTTAAAACAAATTTGTAATCGCATCTAAAGAAATTGAAGAAGTGATGTGACTGGTCCTCACCCTAGCAATGTGTTGAATGGTCTTCTCTCTCACTTCATTGGACACTGCATTCTCAAAGGTAGTCGCAGTAACCACTATGTTGTCAATGTCCAGCCCACTCCTCTTTCCCGCCATGCGCCACAGCTTCCTGGAATAGATAGTGAAATATGTGCAAATAGAGTCTAAGAAATTGAGGATGTGTTAAATTATTAGTGCTCAATTTAGGAGGAGAGTTGATTGCTACGAGAGGCAGAAAGAATTTTGGAAATTGATGGCAGTTTTGCTTAGATTAAATTGATTTCGGGACAGGGTTGCGTAATTGCGTTTAGACTTGTCTAAAAGTGTATTGGTCGGCTGGAACGGTGTGGGAAGTGGGGGAAGTTTGGGTCGTCTTTTTGATCAAACCTGCTTTAAACTACGGAAACATGACATAGGTGCTATGTTATCAGTTACGGAAACATAACATACGTGCTGTTAGACTGAGTGTTACCTGGGTATGTAGAAGAACATGGCCTGTATGGTGAGTACAATGGGCACCCACTGGTAGTAGGTGATGTATGAATTGGGCTTCATGGGGTGGTGTGCCACATCTGGTGTGTTCAGGGGTAGGTAGTACGTGTTAGACACCCAACACATCTACATATCACAGTTGCAAAATTAGAAATAAATTATTCATAAAAATCGAAACGTCGACGAATCGTTTCATGGTTAAAATAATTTGATATAAAAACAATTTTTTATTGGTTCTTTTTGCGTTTAGCAAACTTCAGCAAAATGTTTTTGAAATTTATATATGTCATATTTTTTGAATAGGGTTGAATGAACAAAAGAACACATCTCCATGTCGAAAAAGTTCAATAAGATTTAAAACAATATGATAGAAATGAAAATTTATAGCTCATATTTCAGTTTTTCCACATTAAGACTCTTGTTTGTTAATCGATAATTGTTTTGTTGTGTGTCTGGCAGGGGGTCTTACCTGGTTGGTGTATGTGGTCCATGCACTTGAGAAGGACTGAGGTACCCAACAGTTGATTGGCTCACCCACATACTGCTTAGTGCTGGCCTGTGAAAGATCAAACAACAAACAACATGAAGGTGCGTGATACAGTGCTGATTTAAACTATCCGGGCAAAACGAACAAAATTTGAATTTTCAAACCTGTTTTTCTCAAATTGGGTTAAGATTAGACAAAAATGAAGAGAAAAAAGTTGTTAGAATTTCATCAGAATTAATACGGTTTGATTTTTTCTCCGAAACTCTCACCCAAAATTTTACCGTAAAAATGGGTCATTTTGGCTTTTTTCAATTAATCCAGAATTAAGTTGAAACTACTTGTTAATTGATAAAGAATATATATCACAAGAAGCCTCTTACACAACCCAACAAAATCTAAAAAACCTGTATTAGAGAAAAAATTTTTTGCTTTATAGTCAAGAAACGTGATTTTTACCATGTAAAACCCAAAATCTTTGCTTAAAAACAAATTTTAAACAATTTAATTAAAGTTAGGAGATTTAACACTTTTGAAACTTTGTTGGGCTATATAAGAGGCTTCTTGTGATATATATTCTTTATCAATTAACGAAGTAGTTTCAGCGTAACTCTTGTTTAATTGAAAAAAGCAAAAATGACCCATTTTTGGGGTGAAATTTGGTTGAGAATTTCGGAGAAAAAAAAAATAAACCATATTAATTCTGATGAAACTCTAAGCAATTCTTTTCTGTTCATTTTTTTGTCTAATCCTAACCCAATTTGAGAAAAACGTGTTTGAAAATTCAAGATTTGTTAATTCTGTCCGGATAATATAAATCAGCACTGTATCAGTGGCACAAAAAATTTTGGCTTCTGGCTATGCATTTGTAGCCAAATCAAAAACCGTTGAGTATGGTTCTTCTGTTGTATTTGTAGTTTTCGTGAGTGCGCTAGAAAATTAACATTCTAAAACTAGGCAGAGCCCAAAACTTGTAACGTTTGAGAACAGGAAACACCTGAAAACAGTTTCCCACTTAAAACCTGACAAAATTGTAATACTATTCAATTTTTTATAATTAACGAACTTTCACTCGTTTCACATAGTCGCGTAAACTTTGCACGATGCCACTTTTTGCGAACGATGATTGTTTTTATAAAAAAAGACGTGATTGCCACATTTCTTTTGCAAACTTTTTGGTAGTTTTGAAACTTCAGAAGGGGTTCAGACGTCAAATAATTCAAGCTTGTGTTGTTTGCATTGATAATCTGCAGACGGTAGAAAAATGCTGTATACATGCCAAACAAAACTTCTTGACTTTGAAACCAAAATATTGATTTTTGTTGAATTTCTTTCGCTATAAATGGCGTTGAGAACAAAGCAACATTTGCCAAAGCTTGGCAAAATTGAACGGAATCGAAGCAAATTATGAAGTTGGAAGTTTTCAAAAATATTACGCTAAACTGGCTTTAAATAATTTGCTTGGTTTGCAATATGATGTATATATACAGTGCTGTTTCGAATTTTACTGACTAAAAAATGTTTCGCAAAATAAAAAATCTACAAATATCAACACCCAATTTTTACTTTTTTTTTCAAAAACTTACAAAAAAATTATAACTAATTAACAAATACAAAAAAATTTAACAAACTTCAGCAATTGAAGTGTTTGGTATGTTGTGAATTGTTGTTTGAAACTGCATTAACTCTACAAGGAAATTTATGATAGAAACGATGAATGTAGTCGTTCGGAACTGCCAAAAAACTCAACAATTGACAAATAACGAAAACGTATTCGAATTGTTGTAAGTTGCTTTTCACGATTCTTCCGTTTCATATCATTCCATACTTTTTTTGTTGATGTCAAAATCTGGTAATTGTAGGGGCCGATCATTCGAAATATGAAAACCTTTTACTTGGCAACTTGAGGGGTGGCAGCTGGCATTTTCTTGCTGGTATATTTCATTCAGATAATCATTCTCCATTATTTAGTTTTCGAGTGGTCCTTAACGTTTGTCTGAGTTGAGGTTTCCATAAATGACTACAATAACTCTTCCCCAGAAAATTGCCCTTTCTTAAACACATTTGCTGTTGGAGTGATCCAATTGGGATGAAAAAGCTTATTTGGTAGTCGCTTGAAAGTTGGCGCTTGAAAAAAAAAACACATTTTCCAAAACACCTTTCCCAAAAATATGGTAGTTTTTTTCCCAAAAAAATTTAGCTTTAATTTTTGCGTCTTTTATATATTTAATTTTCAAATTTCTAGATTCGTGGCACTGACTCGTCCAGTAAGATCTTTCTTAACCAAAGATGATTGAATTTTGCTGGCTGATAAAATAAATCTGGTTCATTTTTCGAAGCTTCCGAGACGTCGCAAAAGAATAACTTTTCATTCAATAAGTATCACTTTGTCTTTTTCCGCAGTTTTTCGGCCAATTAAATTTTGTCCCACCAGACTGTGTCCTTTCTTTTTTACGGCAATTCTCCAAAAAGTGCCAACCTGTAGATTTAAGAAATTCAGTTTTTTTTTCGATTTGTTATGTGAACTATAATTGTTAAGCGAAGATCACGCAACTTAGAGTTTATACACATAAAAGAAAAAGCAAACCTTTTTCGACTTTTTGAATTTAAATTTTAGTGTTTATTGAGACATGAGTGTGTAAAAACAGTTAAACCTGAATAAGCAGAGTTTTTACAATTTTTTTACGCCTAATTCAAGTTTATTTTTACAATTTCATTCCGGATAATTTCAATCAGCACTCAAGATCGCGTCAGTGCAGATTTGAAAAATTTTCACTTCATTCATTTAAATAACTTGAGTTCACTCGTGGAAAAGTTTAGATGATGGGTTTCAAGTGCGCATCCAGCTTGACTTTTCATTCAAGTAATAGCTCGTAAAAATTGACTTAGTTTTGCTCTCGCACTGTCGATAGCTTCTAACTGGTAAAAAATAATAAAAAATGTGTTAACCAAAACTAGTCTCACTAGGAGGCTCGATTGCGTATTTTGTGAACAACTGGCGAACTCCGCAACATTACAATTGTCGCGGTATTCGAAATTTTGTTAATTTTCTTCGATCTTCCCCGCTATTTGGGATTCCTTGAACAAATAGCTAGTACACTAAACTGCTCAAAAAAATCGCTCCAAAAACAGATTAATTTGCTCAATCTGCAACGACTTGCGCGCAAACAGTGCACAAACAGAGTCAGGAAGTGTTTGTGGAATCCACAAACAAAGAAAATATATGTGTATGAAAAATTTCGTGGGTGGGGAACCCGCAACTGTAAACGGAAGCTACAAATCGTAAGCGGAATTTATTACCTCTAAGCCATCATTGTACTTCTTTTAAGCTAAGTTCCAGATTAAATGCAAGATTTTAATTGAAATTTTAATTCGATATACGAGATAAAACATCCCAGAACTGGTAAGGCGAAGTTTGAATTGGCAACCTTTTTAATTGATAACGCAACATGCTTAGGTCAAAATTTTGGAGACTAGGTTTGAACTGAGCATCTTATGTGCAGATAATGCAACGTAATTGAGCCTTATTGGATGCTCAGGATTTTTAATATCTATTATACTGAGATTCAGGATACCGGATGAAATGAATATTATCTATACAGAATGTCAGGGTATGAGATGAAGTGAGTAATTAACCAATGATGCCGAAAAAACATAAGGACTTTTATCTGCGGCATTGTGCAAATTTTAACGCTCATCTTAAAAAATTATTTTTCCCATTCCTTGCGTTTATCAATTTGTTCTCGCGAATGCTGGGAAAATTAAAAGGGGTACATCCACAATTTTAACTTATCAAAAAATAATTTTTTCGTGGATTCCACTAAAAATGGCTACGTCCTTGCTTTTAAGTTCTACATTTGCTAGATAACAGTTCTAGCTCTAGCTTTTATTTGTTAAACATGCGAACTCTTAGTTCAGTGTTACCATTTTGAAATCCACTTACAACTAACGGAATTTTGACAATATTTATGTCACACGAATGACCTACAGACAACAAACTCTGTGCCTATCCAGCTCATAGTTGAGCCTCGTATTGTTGAGAAAAAACACCAAGCATAAATATTCCGGTATTTTCTTCGAAATTGGAACATTCCGTTGGCGGAAGACAAATTGTCCGCTTATAGGGCTAAGCGTTGTCCCTGTATTATTCTGCTTTTTTGTCCAAGGGGCTTGGTTAGAGTAGCAAAGAATTTCGGTCGAGGAATGATTTTACAGCGTTGTTATCAATACTTCTAATTTAAATCAGCTCCTTGGATGGATATTAGAAGCACCTCGGAGGATCAGCAGCCGCTTACAGCGTAAAATGAGGCACCAAGGTGCAGGCACTTAGCATAGGCATTTAAGACGCACTCAGAATAGTGGTTAGCCGTTCACTATGAACTCGTCAGATCGTGTATTCGATCCCATGCCATGTTAATGATTGCGTGTGAGGACGAGCTCTCACTTGACCTCTAGCTTCAGGTCTACCATAGCCTGACCAATTACGGCTGCAATAGTGGTGCCACGTGAAAACTTTAGACGCAAAAAACGGCCTTGCGTCGTAATAAAAAGAGCTTCACCCAACAAAAGTAACACAGTCTGGAATGTGGGGAGAGAGTACAATTGGACTATCCTCGACAAGACTGTTAAGACCTCTGCGACAAGATAGTTAGCTCCTCTGCGATTCGCAGGAAGCACAAAATGTTTAGAGATTTTTTCTAAGACTGTCTCGAAAATATTTTTTTAATTTAGCATCATAACATTGAAACGGTTTTTTTAGAGTTCCTAAATTATAACTTAGTGGATAAATTTTGTTTCTGTGCACAATAATTATGAAATTGAAAACCGAAACATCCACGAAAACGAAAATATCGAAAAGTTATGCACAGAGAACTGTTCATAGCAATTTCTGACAAACATTTTCACTGAAGCCCAAATCTCGATTTTATTCTATTTTTACCAGACCTGCATTGTAGATATTTGTACTCTTCAAAAATGGACTCACGAGTATTGCGAATAAGATCAGTAGGATGGGAGTGTATCTGTGGTTGAGTCTGTCCCCGAAGTCCCCGTCCCCAGTGCCAGTGATCTGGGAAATGCCACTGACCAGACGCAGCGGGAACATAATCAGGTGCTCCACTAGAAGAGAGGAAAACAAACAAAAGTATGTAAGCAAAATTTATTGCTTAAACGAATATTGTTACACAGCACGTTATAATGTCAAAATGTTTTCGGAATGGTAAAATATAATTTTTACTTAATTATAAAAAATTACTGTCCAGGAGAACTAATCTCCAGTCTGAAATTGGAACAGAAAAGACAGGTAAAGCAAGTCTATCCAATAGTATAGTGTTCGGGTCGTATGATGCAAATTAGGGCGAATTTTAAAGCTAAATTTAACAATTGGTAAGAAAAGACAAGTGGAACTACTCGCTTAAAGCGACAACTCTCACAAAACGACAACCGGCAATCAAGTTGTATAGGACGGATATATTGCAATCATGCGTTAGTGTGTGGGACTTGACATTGAACACTTCATTGCCGCGTTAACAATAGCTCAAAACAGTTTGTTTCTACAAGTTTATAATAATTATCGTTTTGCTCAGATTGGCGTTTCAAAAAAAATCATGATCTCATTTTGACCGAGCCATCTTCTCTTGCCAATTTCAGCCGAACCATTTTGAAAAACAATGTATTTTGTTAATTACGATAGTATTGAAATCTCAAATCTGAATAATATAATATATATTGATTATCGCTAAAAAATCATTTTTACACAGCGGCCCATTTACTTCGGAACAGACAAATAACCAACATTAAAGGCGAGAAAAACAATTGAGAAGAGCAAACTGATCACTGGGAATTGAAATTTCTTCTTCTTACTTCAAAATTTATGCGGGAATTGGCAAATATGGTTTTAGTTTTTTTCTAACACGGCTAATGTTGTAAGGGAAGTTAAGCGTTCAGTAGACAGATATATGAGTGCCGCGTCACATTACAGTTCGCTTGGTTAATTTCCAGATGGTCAAAATATAGGCGCAACAGTTCTATTCCGAGTATTCAGTAACGGAACCAATGCCAAAATTAACCAATGTCAAAACTCAAAAATGCCAAAATCGAAATTGTCAAAATAGCTTATAGTATTGATCCCGCTGACACAAAAATTAAGTTTCCAGTATACAGATGACACGACATTGCAGTTTTTAATCGTTATCTCTGATTTGAAACGTTACCAGGTCAAACTGTATCTTTTGTGAACTGTAACGCGTTGAAAATCGTTCCGCCACTTTTATACTTGAGAAAAAACTATATGATTTTGAATAGTTTTTCGCTCTTTGTCTCGTGTTTATGTTGGAGATTTCGTCGTTTTTCTTCGGGAGAGATGGTAAGATAAACAAGACTGCTCGTATCAGGGCGAAGCCCTGAATGTTCCGACTGCCTTTTCAGGTCTATGGAGCAACAAGAACATGAAAAACTTAAATCTAATTAAAAAAAATTAAGATTTTTTTTTAAAAAAAATTTGAGATTTTTTTTGTAAAAACATCCCCCACACGCCATATTAAGTACAAAGTGATAAATTTTGCTCCTATTAACAAATCAATTATGACATATAAGCTAACTTGAATCAATTTGGAACGATTTTTAATACGGATTAAATCTAGCTTACGCGTTAATAGCGCGAAATATATCGCGCGTTAATTGTCCCAAATTGGCCAAAATGGCAATCTTTAAGCCCCCATAATTAAACCAAAAATGATCACTGGTAATTTTTTTTCAAATTTAAGCTCAAGACAACAATACTTTTCGATTGATATAAAAAATTCCGTCATAAATGGCTAGTTAAAAATTTGAATTTCGTCTGAAGAAAAAACCCACCCCGAGCACAAATCTTCCGTTACTTTCGTTACGAAAGTCGGAACAATTAGCAATTTAAACTAATTGGTTACTAATAGTTTTAGTATTTTGTATGATTCAAGTTTTTCTTGACAAACTGTACACTCTATGCTCCTGTATAACTCGCAGCAAATATGTAATCGCAACAGCAAAACTTTAAAAACCTTTATTTGCGACAAAATTTTAAAAATGTTTGTTACAGTCTCAATTGTTAATAGAGGAAAACTTAAAAAAACCATCTGATGTTTAATGACATAAACTGATTTTGCGCGGACAGTTTTTCAATACTACCCTCTTAATTTTTCGAGGCAGCGTAAAGTTTTTATAGATGATATAGATTCTTCTCCTCTTAATTTATATCAATTTATATTTAAAAAATTGGTTGAAAAAAAATGAATTGTTTCAAAAATTTTGAAGTTTGAGATTTTATTGGTTCGTAAAAATCTAAATTCAAGTTTTGGGTAGACATTTTAAAAATTCACACCAATTTGTTTAGGGTAAATTTGCAAAAAAAAACTTGAAAACAAGGAGGGTAAAATGACTTTTCTACGAGAAACCAGTAGGGCATCGAAAATGCGGAAGATCAAATTGGGTTTGTATATTTTTCTCTAACTCCATAATTATTTGGAAAGAAAAACAAAGCCTATAAACTTAGTGATGAATGAACATAAAATACTGCAGCTGCCCATCATTAGGTTTGAAAACTAGTTTTTTCAGATTACTTAAAAAATTCTGAAAAACTGATCAAAATTGTAAAACGATTTTTTTTTCATCAAGGTGCAAAAAATTTTTAAGTTTTATGAGCACTCTAAAGTTTTCTAAATAATGACCAGATTCGTTGCATATCAAGATAAAGCGCTCAATGTTCCGTTCTGAGTGCCCCTTATTTGGACTGGAATAGTTTTTTCTCAAAATTTTTTTGATAAACTGATAAACTTCATTTGGAATGAAAACATCGAATATGAAGTGCGAAAATTGATTCAAAATAATATTAACAATTAGCTTATCTCTATTTAATTTGAAACAAATATGAGTGCATGATATGTGGTCACTCGTAATAATTTTGTGCATTGAGTATTAAACGAGCGATTTTTTGTCGATTCGAATTTTTTCTTGAATTCGAATCAACGCTCTGAACCCTGTCTGATATTTATTGTGGTAACTGATTTTTCGTGAAAAAAAACACATCAACCTAGGTCAAAGTTCTTTGCACCTCTAGCGGTTTTAGTCTGAACGATAATTAACTACTCGATTCTTTGCAGAACAGCACTGGCGTGCGCGGAAATTTTTGTAGGGGGGGGGTTCGAAAAATTTTGAAAGTTTTAAGGATCTTTTTTTTAGGTCGACCAATTTGATTTTCCACAAGCAAATTTTTCAAAAAACAGGCAAGTTTGGAAAGTTTTGGCAAAAAAGTTTGTTGTTTTTCATCGCGCGATCCTCCGTCAAAATAATTTAGATTGGCGCCGAAGGCACCTTTGAGAAAAATTTTCCGGTTGGTCAGCCAAAAATTGATGTAAAGTTATACCAAAGGGGGACCCTTTGAAAAAAGTTGGCAACCATAATTGATGGAGAAGCCCCCCCCATCCCTTGGCACGCTACTGCACAACAGCCAACAAAAGAAAGTTATCAATTAAAATAAGTCAAAATTTGGAAGGAAACATTTCAAAAAGTTTTATTTTAGTGGGTTAATTAGGTGCGTATGTAACGTCCAAACAGTTTTACAAAAAGTAACGTCCAAACAGTTTAAATTAAGTCAAAATTTGGAAGGAAACATTTCAAAAAGTTTTATTTTTGTTCCGACTTTCGATACGAAAGTAACGGAATATTTGTGCTCGGGGTGGGTTTTTTTTTCTTCAGACAAATTTCGACTTTTTAACTAGCCATTTTTGACGGAAGTTTTTTATATCATTCAAAAGGTATTGTTGTCCTGAGCTTAAATTTGAAAAGATATTTCACCTGTGATCATTTTTCGTAAAGTTATGAGGGTTTGAAGATTGCCATTTTGACCAATTTGGGACAATTAACGAGCGATATTATTCGCGCTATTAACGCGTAAGCGGAGATTTAATCCGTCCTATAAATCGTTCCAAATTGGTTGAACGAAGCTTATTTGCCACAATTGATTTGTTACCAGGAACGAAATTTCTCTTTTTGTACTTTATATGGCGTGTGGGGGGATGATTTTCATTAAAAATTTCAAATTTTAGAATAAAAAATTTCATTTTGTTTTATTTCATTCAATTTTTATATGTTATTACTGCTGCTCCAAAAACCCTAAAAGGCAGTCGGAACATTCAGGGCTTCGCCCTGATACGAGCAGTCTTGTTGTAGGTTTATGCTGCGTATGTAACGTCCAAACAGTTTTACAAATACAAAAGTGTTTGTGTTGAAAAGTTTAAACGTTTCAATACTTGAAAAATTTATGAAAATCTTACTGTGTCGCTGACAGAATTCAGTGTTGTGTCAAAATCATAATTTTTTATAACATAAATTTGAAGCTAAACAATTGCAATTGGAAAAAAAAGCTTTAGAAAGCCCTAAAATTACCTGTCCTCAGGCATGTAAGTTAGGATACGTAATACAAATTTGGGCTCCAAATTTAGAAGGAAATACGATTTGTACGTGATACTGACCCACGAACCTTAATTAGCCAGAGGTGGTTAGGCGACCATATGACAAAAGCCAGTTTCTTAAGCGCCTCTAACAACGTCGAAAATAAAGCTGCAGTTTGTGGTTATGTCAGCGCAATAAGTAGTTTTGTTTAAATGAAGCAAAAAGACAAATTGGGACTAATAAAATAACTGATTTCTTTCTAGCTATTATGAAAACTCTGGGTTTGCATTCTGGGTGATCTCATTTCAAGTGTTGATAGCACTTACGGGTCTTGAATGTGGATATTCAAACATAAACATGTTTAGTTTCATTCTGCTTCAAACGTTTCCTTGGACGCAACTTGAGATTTTTCAGCTCTTGCGTTTGAGGGAAATTGCATTATGTTTGCCTAATTTAACTGCAAGCACAAAAACTAACTCAAAACGGGCATGAGGCTAACTAGAAATAACTCTTTAGTACGCCTGCCAAATTTTAGAAAATTCTAGGAAATAAAGAACATGAAAATTAGCTACACTTGAATGCAGACATTCTAATAGCCGAAAACAGCAACAGGAAAACGATATTTTATATGATGGTTACTTGATTTAAAGTTTTTTCCGGTACTGAAATTACGAAATTCACTATTTAAAAAGATATATTCTTTATTTGTATAAATGAGTATAGTCATTAAAATTTAGTTGGTTGTCGCAGTTTGAGCAGCTTTATTAGCTATTAGGAAATTTCGCTCCATTGAATAAATAACTTACGGTTGGTATTGCTGTCGGTTTCGTGCGTTGGAGTAATCTAGGTGCTTGAAATAATAGCCCAAAAAATCAAGGGTTAACATAAACAACCGCAGACCAGTTTATAGCCCTTCAATGAAAACAAGAGCCGAGTAAGGTTTGAAAGAACTTGCGTCAACTGTTAACCAAAACTTAAAATAAATTGTTTTTATTGGGAGACGTTGAATTTATTATCAAACTCTTAAAATTTCAGATTAAAAATGGTACTTCTTTTGGCTATCATTGTCGCCATTGTAATTCTTAAAACATTTTTCCAGGACTGCTACTCGGGCTCATAAGGTTTGACAATGAGAGCCACGGTAGCTTATAACTCTGATTTTTTTATATACTTATCATAATTAGATGAAAACATGAGTCGGTCAATAAGATTACCTCTTGCAAAAATTGAGCAAAATTCCAACAAGTCAAACTGCTATCTCCAAAAATTTAAATACGCACGAAACTACTTAGTCATGATTCCATTTCATAAATTGAAAAAAAACTATGATCTTTGGCTTTGATCAACGAAAGAGGAACCAAAAAACGAGGTGCAAATTCAGCTCTTCACGTTTAACTATCGCTGTTTCTCGATTAAGCAATACCTTCATCACAATCCAGGAGCACGGCAACTCTCAACAAAAAGAGGCAACGATTGATCTTTTGCTGCGACTTGCCATGGCGCACTGACATCCATATAGTGTCTGAATAGTTTATAATTGCCAAATGATAAATCTTATAATAGTTATAATAGACAGGCAAATTACTTGGGTTATTCTCAGTGCCGGACGGGTGTGGATGTGAAGTGAATCCGGCGCCTGATGGTCCAGCGGGGGATGATGCGGCAGCTGCGACTGTAGCTGGACTGATCTGGATGTGGGGCGTTACTGCCTTACCACTGCTGCAGAGATCTAACTCCAAGTCCTTCTTGAAGTGGTTAGGGTTCGGAAAGTACTTCAAATGCTTCTCATAGTGGTCGTCTAATCCCATCGGAAGACATCCACTCGGAAGTTACGACGCATGCACAATTCGAAGTACAATTCAACCGCGCAGTTTTTACCGGTTTTCGTGTATTAGTGCCGGTGTGTTTGTTACCACTAACAGCTCACGAATAACAGATAGCTTTTTAATTGACGAGTTATCTTCAATTGGATTTCGCAACGAATGACTAATATGCTCCGATCTTTATTCTCGGATCGCGACTTACTGCTCGCGGAAAACAAGTAACTTCCGCAAAATGAGCCAAAAGTACTGATAAATGAAATAGATCAGACAACAAATTTAAAAAATCAGCAACCACTCGATGATTTTCCAGGGGTTCCGTTTTGGTCAAAAGAATGGTCGAATGCGATATAGGTTCCATGCAAAAAGGTTGTCAAAATTTGGATTAAATTGTAAAAGTATCTCTAATTAGATTCAAATCTGAGTCGTTTTTTCAACAGGACGTTGAGTGATTACAAATGGCATCCGGAATTAACAAATTTTGAAGTAGAAATTTTAGAAACGGTGTATAGATTTAAGTTTTCGAATAGTAAATGTAGGGTCACGTGTGTTTTTGAGGTAACAAATTTCTGTTTGAGTAAAAATCATCTAGCTTGTAATCAGTTTTGTTATTGTTTGGGGATAAAAAAAGAGACAAAAACTAGGAAAGAAAAGTAGTTTCTGACTAAATGAAGCAATGGTCATGTATTAATGAGGCCGGAGTTTTAATAGAACAGGTGCAGAGCTGATCCGCTTTGGCAAACAGGAATCGACAGTTTTGGTCCAGTTGCAATCCAGTTATGGCTCAGAGTATTACAAACGATTTCAGATGGCATACAAAGGATGCGAATAATGATAGAATATTCAATATAAACATATTTAAAGCGAGTTGAAGGATGTTGTTTAATTACCATGGTTTGCGATCAAGAATTGTTAAAAATGGTACGCAATATACTGGAGGAAAATCAATTCTTGTATAAATCTAAAGCGTTAAATGTATTTGAAAAAATCCGTAACTGATGTTTCAATTATACTTTGGTTCGGTTTTCAGCCTAAGGAACTGTTTCAAAACATTCTGAACAGAACAGCAGTTTTCTTTAATCAGACGGAAGAAAAAACGATAAAAAATTGATAATGTCACAATAACTTTTTTCCACTTTTTTTCGTATGTGCTTATGAACATCGGTTGTCAGCATTTGCACGTGTTTGGGAAATAAGATGAACAAAGAATGAGTTTTCCAACTTAATTTCATAAATAATTCAAAAGCAGTTTTCCTTTTCTTAAACCACATGGCGCAGACCAACTTGATTTTTGCTTTGCGAAGCTGAAAGACGATTGTTCTGATGATGCAAGAAAGTTCTGATTAGCTCAATTTATATCATTAGCTCGATATTTTGTTTCCTGTTTTATAACGAGATCTAAGTTAAATGTCATTATCTTTTTAACTAAAACTCAATTACTATACATACATATTGTTAATAATTTTATCAGAAGGCTGTTGGACTTTTTAATGCATATGACAAAAGCTTCCTCTTTAATTGTTACTCGCTGCAAGTAGACGCGTTTACTGACACCATTAATGGTCTTAGGAAACTTTGATATATGGGTTTGCGTGCAGATTAATGCGACCAACTATACTGATTTTAAAAGATACTAATTGAAAACTCTGCATTATACTTTAACAGGCAGTGGTGTGCACAAGAATTTTTGACGAAATTTTTGGCAATGTTTTTAGATCAGCCATTTCGAGCTGTTCCAAAACCCTAGAATGACCAACTTTGAAAAGCATTGCTGTTTTCAGGGGCGGATTTAGGGGGGGGGGGGGAGGAAACGTACGTCCCCCCTCAATGATTGATTCGACCCCCTGTCGACCCAAAGGGTTCCCCTTTTGTACTAGTTTGAGATATCTATTTTTGGTGACGGGCCCTAAAATTTTTCTAAAGGCGCCTTAATTTTAAGGGGGGGGGGGGGGAGCGCGAGCTAAGCAACTGCGACTTTTTTGTCAGAATATTCCAAAAAATGTCTAAAATTGCCTTTTTCGGTCTGTTTTTTGAATTGTTGTCTGCGGCGCTGAAAATTTGGCCCAAACAGGAACTTTTTATTACTTTAAGAGAGCAAAAAATTCAATTTGGTCGACCTAAAGAAATTCGGCATACTTTTTGGGTGATATGTTACAATAGGTGGTAATTTTGAGTATAGTGCATGTATTAAATCTCAGAACTATAAGGCATAACATAGTCATTTCATTTTCAATCAGTTTGTACTACTACTAAGATAGTTTTGTAAATAAACTACTCTGCCAAATGAAATTGTATTCAAACATTCAAATTTTACACTTCTTTCGACAAAAAATTTGGCTTTTGAAATAAATTATAAATAATGTACGAAGTATAGCAAAAAGCAATCGAGCTATTGGAATTTACCCTACCCCCCATTGTACTATATCACCACTTTTTGAAAGTCCGCACACCTACCCCCGAGAAATTTCTCAATCCACCCCTGGCTGTTTTTGAGCCTTTTTTGAATGGTAGTAAAGCATAAATTTCAATTTTTTCAGCGGGCAATCTATTGGCGCCGTAAAAATTTTATGGTTAATTTTGGCTGTCGTTAATTAGTATCAAAGGGGGAGCTTTTTTGAAACATGGCAACCAAACTAAGAAAAAAGCAAACCCCGTACACTCACCAGCCCCCCTTCTCCCCCTACTACCCTCTCGGCTCAGGAAAAAAATTGCAGCAGGAAAATAATTGGAGGGGAGGAAAGTAATGGGAGAGGTAGGAAACTCTAGTTCCAATTAGTCAATCTGATTTTAATTTTTGTAAACAAGCTGCATTTGCACAAATGGAAGTTTTTGTCGACCTGCTGGCACGATCAAAACCTTAAGTTTTAATCACAATTTTAAGAGACCCATTTTCACTAAACTTCAAATTTTGACTGAAACAGGGGGGCAGGGCGACAATTAGTAACATATGCGACCATTCGTAATAGACGACAATTTGTAACAAGCTACTATTCAAAAAACAAATTGATAAAAAGAAGACGTTTTTCTCTGCTGCGCTTACATTAGATACGGGAATAATAGTAGTGTCATTTTGGGACTCATATACTTATAAACTTTAAGAAAGTTTGACAAAAAAAAACTGAAACAAAAACTTTTGATTTTTTTGTCAATTTTATTGTTTTTCTTGACATTTTCTCCAAAAACAGCTAGCCTGTTCCCTATTCTACTCTGACTATCGAATAAGCCTAAAACATAATTCTTTGTGAGATTCTTTTCTCACCCTACGCAGAAAAAACTATACTAATTTGAAAAGAAAAACTGTTTTCTTGTAGTTTTTTGAAAACTGTGGTCGTAAAATTCTCTGCTACTTGTACAGTAGCCAGCTATTCGTGTTAAGAATTGTCGCCTGTAAAGAATTGTCGCTAATTGCGAATTGTCGCTTCAAGGAACAGAAGTTTTGTTTCACCCCTGGAGACTTCCGAAAAACCTTCAGTTCTGCAAAACGTAACTCAAAAAATCAGATTTTGAAAATAAACTAGTTTGCGGAAAGTGCTGGTGAGTTGGCTGAATTTTTTCCTCGTTATTGAAAATTCGGTGGCTTTGAGACCCACCGTGATCACTGCTTGTAGTGTGAATATGAGAGAGCAATAGTCTGTCTATCAAAAATAACCAACAATTTTTGAAAGTGTATTTTAATTGAGGGCAATTTAATCATGGTGTTTTTAAATTAATTTAACCTCTCTTACGAAGAACATCTCTTATGTTGATCTTTTTCTCCCTTGCGGATGAAACGTGCAAAACTAGTTAGGCTTTAGGCCATAAAATTAGTCTAGGGATGAAACAAAGAAAGGTAAATGCGCATAAAATAAAAAAAAATATATGAAAAACTTCGAGACCCACCGTGATCACTGCTCGTTGCGTGCATATGAGACAACAGTACTCAGTCTATTAAAAATAATCAAAAATTCTTAATGTGTATTTTAGTTAGGGGCTTTTTAATCATAATGTGTTTTAATTAATTTAACTTCTTTTATGAAGAACATCTTTTGTGTTGATCTTTTTTCTCAATTGCGGATGAAACGTGCTAAATCAGCTATGCTTTAGGCCATAAAATAAGTCTAGGAATGAAACAAAGAAAGGTGAATGCGTATAATTTTTAAAAAAATTATTTGAAAAATTTAATGAATGTTAGATATAATAAAGCATAGTTTTTTAAAAACTGATGTTCTTTAGACGAGCAAATGAGGATCAATCCAATTTTTTTTATATGTTCTTTGAAAAATTATCAAACCTTGTTTTTTATTGATCGCTTCATTTAGAGCGCTGGTAGTTTTTGGAATTAAAAACTCAAAGGTATGTTATCAAAAAATTTTTGCTCAACGCCTCACAAAAAATCCAGACCAGCCCCTGATTTAAATTCATTTTTTCCTGTGATTCCTTTAACTTTTTTTGTCCGTTATAGTTGGTTTGACATTTTCTTCAAAAACAGTTAGCCTGTTCCCTATTTTACTCTGACTATCGAATAAGCCTAAAACATAATTCTTTGCGAGATTCTTTTCTCACCCTACGCAGAAAAACTATACTAATTTGAAAAGAAAAACTGTTTTCTTGTAGTTTTTTGAAAACTGTGGTCGGAAAATTCTCTGCTACTTGTACAGTAGCCAGCTATTCGTGTTAAGAATTGTCGCCTGTAAAGAATTGTCGCTAATTGCGAATTGATGCTTCAAGGAACAGAAGTTTTCTTTCACCCCTGGAGACTTCCGAAAAACCTTCAGTTCTGCAAAACGTAACTTGCTGTCTAATAAAGATGGCCATTCAAATCTGGAATGGCTGCGATGGCAAGAAGAGTGGGGTTGTATATAGTAGACGAAATTTATATTACGGGAAATTAAAAGTGTTTAAGTTGAGCGAAAATTTCTATAATTTAAGTAGAGTATTTTTTAGCGAACATTTTCCAGACGACATTGACAAGAAGCAGTTAAAAAGCCGTTTGTCAGTTCATGGTCGCCGGTTTATTTTGAAAACAAACTAGTTTGAGGAAAGTGCTGGCGAGTTGGCTGAATTTTCGCCTCGTTATTGAACAGTTGGTGGCTTTGAGAACCACCATGATCACTGCTCGTAATGTGAAAATGAGACAACAGTACTCAGTCTATCAAAAACAACCAAAACATTTTGAAATGTATTTTAATTCAGGGCTATTTAAACATGGTGCATTTTAAATATTTAACCTCTCTTATGAAGAACATCTCTTAAGTTGATCTTTTTCTCCCTTGCGGCTGAAAGGTGCTAAACGAAGCGAGGTTTTTTATTAGGTCTGAAAAAATCAGATTTTGAAAATAAACTAGTTTGAGGAAATGCCTGGTGAGTTGGCTGAATTTTGGCCTCGTTATTGAAAAGTCGGTGGCTTTGAGACCCACCGTAATCACTGCTCGTAGTGTGAATATGAGACAGCAATCTCTGTCTATCAAAAACAACCAAAAATTTTTGAAAGTGTATTTTAATTAAGGGCAATTCAATCATGGTGTTTTTAAATTAATTTAACCTCTTTTATGAAGAACATCTCTTATGTTGGTCTTTTTCTCCCTTGCGGATGAAACGTGCAAAACTAGCTAGGCTTTAGGCCATACAATTAGTCTAGGGATGAAACAAAGAAAGGTAAATGCGCATAAAATAAAAAAATATATGAAAAACTTCTAGACCCATTATGATCACTGCTCGTTGCGTGAATATAAGACAACAGTACATCAAAAATAACCAAAATTTCTTAATGTGAATTTTAGTTAGGGGCATTTTAATCATAATGTGTTTTATTTAATTTAACTTCTTTCATGAAGAACATCTTTTGTGTTGATCTTTTTTCTCGCTTGCGGATGAAACGTGCTAAATTAGCTAAACTTAGGGCCATAAAATAAGGCTAGGGTTGGAACAACGAAAAGTAAATGCGTATAAAATAAAAAAATGTATGAAAAACTTGTAGACCCATTATGATCACTGCTCGTTGCGTGAATATGAGACAACAGTACTCAGTCTATCAAAAATAATCAAAAATTCTTAATGTGTATTTTAGTCAGGGGCATTTTAATCATTATGTGTTTTAATTAATTTAACTTCTTTTATGAAGAACATCTTTTGTGTTG